TAGAAATGCAGCTAAGGATAACCTTGAACACCTTCCAAGGTCCAAGTGCGGGGACTTCAGGTGTGTGCTACCACATATGGCCATCGCACACACTTTATTTCATCCGCTTCCGAGAAATCAACCAGGCGCCACTCATGATTTGTTTCGCAGTGCTGGAGCTGCCGGAGCCCAGGCCCTCGCGTGAAGTCCTGGGGGGAGGGGTGTGAGGAGTCACACTGAAGCTTAATATGAAGTGAGGTGTGGAGTCTGAGGCCTGCCTGGATTTCTTTCTATCTCAGACACACCATCCAGTGCACCATAGCTGGAGCGACTGCCCAATGTGCACCAGACCCTGGGTTCAGTGCCCCTCACAAAGTAAACCAGCTGTAGCTTACACACTATAACCCTGGGACTGGAGAGGTAGAGACAAGAGGATCCTGAGCTCTGGGTTATCCTTGGATACTGACCTCCTTAGGCCACATGAGATCATGTCCCAAAACAAACAAACAAACAAACACACAAAAGGTACAAAGAAAGAAGATGGGCGTGGTAGCACAGGCCTTTAATCCCAGCCCTCAGAGAGGCAGAGGCAGGTGAATCTCTGTGAGTTCAGAGGCCAGCCTGGTCTACAAAACCAGGATAGCCAAGGCTGTACAGAAACACCTTGTCTCAAAAAACAGAACCACCCAACCAACCAACCAAACAACAACAAAAGAACATAAAAAGAAAAAAGGAGGGGATTGGGTAAATTAGAAAATCAGGCTACTCCAGAAACAGCAAGAATGGCTTCCTTAGCCAGGCTCATGGCTGCTCACCTTTAATCCTAGCCCTCAGGAAGCAGAGATGGGAGTTGCAGTTGAGGCCAGCCTGGTCTCATGTGAGTTACAGGACATGTGAGTTACAGGACAGCCAGGGCTATGTGGAGAAACCCGTTGTTTTTTGTTTTGTTTTGTTTTTTAATTTATGTACTTATTTATTTTCTAAGGCTTCCATTCCAGCCCTAGATTCCTCTATGGCTCCCATTTCCCTCCTCCAGCCCTGCCCTAGGACTGACCTGCACCCAGCCACTTGATGCATTACCCCGCCTGGCTCCCGGCTGTTCCCCAGCCCGGAATAGCTTGTTCCACATTCCACTGGACACCTGCCCGCCCGACCTGTCCCCTCCTCCCAGTGCAGGGGCAAGCACTCTGCCAGTGAGCACGTGTGCTTCAGAGAACCTTCTGGGTGTGTGAGGGCCAGCCGGCCATGCCTCTCCATTCTAGTGTCCCTCCTCCAAACCCCGAGTTTCTCCACCTGAGCTGCCTAAGATTCAGAACCGCCAAGTCAACACTGTTCCCCTCATCCTCCAGGAGCCCGGGGTCTCACCCACCTCTGCTGCACTCCCCGGTCTGACTGACATGCACCCCGCAGAATGATCCAGGACACAGTCTGACTTCATGCCTCATTTCTGTATGTTTTTCTAGTTGTGTGCACGCACAGAGGCCAGACGTTGACGTCACGTGTCTTCCGCAGTTGCGCTCCAGTCCATTTGTTCAGCTCAGCAATTCTGACTGGAAGCCCTGGGACAACCTGGTGTAGCTCTGCGCCCTGACCCACCCCCCCACACGCACCCTCCCCCCATGCTGGGATTATAGACGTGGGCCCATCTAGCTTTTTGTATGTCAGCGCTGGGATCCGAATTCAGGTCTCTAAACTCGGGTCCTTGGGCCTCTTTATCAACAGTGATCTTCCCGGCCCTTCTCCCTATTTCTCCTGCTCCTCAGTCGCCAGAAAGAGGAGGTAAAACTATCCTGTGCAGCCAGTTGGTGCAAAATGTCCCTGTCCTCCTTAAGGGAGGGACCTGGAGCAGGGCTGGGAGTCACACTGTCCTTAGGGTCAGTGTCCTCAGGCACCCAGGTTTAGACCAGCCCTGCCTGGTCAGAAAGATAGAGACCTGGTTTCCTGGGATGACAGTGTGGCATGGTTTTCCCCAGACTGGCCTAGTGCCTCTGTCTTGGGCATGTGCCTGCTCCCCCTGCTGTGGATCTGGCCCAGCCTCTGACTTCAGGCCTGTGTGATTGCCAAGTCATTGGTCCCCGCCATACCTCACTTGCCCTCCCTAATATCCCAGGGCTCACCACACCTGCAGAAGCGCTGTCACGGGACCTCTGTGCATTTCTGCTGCAGCCCAGGACCTGCGTGGCACTCACAGCCCCTTCCTGCGCTGCAGAGGGACGCTGTGACCCCAGACCCACACTTCCCCTGAGCCTCCAAGGTTCCACTTGGCATCCACCCAGCTCATGGACCCCTCTAGGGTAGCCAAGGACTCAGGAAGGCAGAGCTGCCATCTTCCGGGCCTCTCCACACAGGGCTGAGTCAGGGATGAGTCTGTGAGAGACTCCCTGAAGACTTCTGCTGTGACTTTCTCGGGAAGAAGAGGCTTGCTGAGTGGGCTGACATCAGGAACCATCCCGTGGCAAGAGCCTACCTGAGAACTATACCAACTGAGAGGCAACAAAACCAAAAAGGCCGGAGTGGAATCCCTGCTGCCATCTGGAGCAGCTAGAGCCAGCTGTACCTGAAGCTGTGCTACCGTCACGCTTCAGTCGCCAATAAACCTTTCTCCCTCTCCTTCAACACAGAACCTGACTTCCCGACAATGAATGCCAAAAACCAGTCCTAACCTGTCCCTCTAAAATGGCTTCTTCCTCACTTCTCTCCCCAGACTCTGGCCCTTCAGAAGCAACTGGCTGGGCAAGGACTGTCCAGGCTAGAGCTCAGTTGCCTCTAAGTTCATCAGCTTCACAGGGTGACTAGCCAGCATGCACCCAGGGAAAGAAAATGCAATCTCCGACTGTTCCTGCATCCACTCGGGTCTCACTTTCTACCTATGGGAACGCCAGCATCTCCCCCCTGACCTTACCCCCGCCAGCGGCAGATGCTGTGCCTTAGAAGCCCTGGGGCCCCTCCAGCTGCTGGTATGAAGAGCCTATTCTTGGGGTCCCTGGGGCCCCCTGGGGATTATCGATGTGTCAAACCCACTGTCCCCGCCTCCTGGCCCTGGGCCTCCGGACAGCTCCGTCAAGTGAGGCCTCCAGTGCTTGCTGCCTGCCTGTGCCTTCCTGTTAGCGTCTGCTGGGCATGGAGGGCTCACACCCCAGGTGGCCCTTAGCCATTCTGGGGCAGGACCTTGTGGATAAATGTCCCCAGTGTCACCCCGTGGAAAGACAGCTCTTCTCAGTTGCCCCAGCAGGGCTGAGCGTACTTAGTCTGAGGTGTGGCGTTGTCACCAGGCCTCCTGTTTGCCTTTCCCACTTCCCTGATACACACTGCCTCAGGGGTCACCTCTCAAGTGTAGGTCTCACCACAAGCTCTGGCCACCAGCTCTTCCTGAGAGACCTGGGTGGACAAAGTCTCACCACCGAGACAGGCTCCCTCCCCAGGGGAGCAGAACTGGGGCTCAGTCCTTCCCTTCTACGAGCCATAAACCCGGGATCCCCCACAGCAATACTAATCCCTCAGATGCACACAAACTCCTCTGCCTTAGGAGCCTGCAGGACCGCGTGGACAGCGCGCCCTTCCATCTCACTGCCAACCAGCCGCCTTCACTCTGATGCCTCCCTGACTGCCCTGAGGCTCCTCCCACCACGCTCCCCGACTGCCCTGAGGCTCCTCCCACCACGCTCCCCCTCTATCCGTCTGTTACCCGTCCTCACTCTTCCAATCACACCCTGGAAAAGCCCCCCGAGCCCGGCTCAGATGAGCCAATCTGTTTAATCCCCCTGGTGGACAATGACTCATCTTTCAGTCACTGAACCCACAGAGCAGAAGGAAGAGAACAGACTCCCACAGTGGTCCCCTGACGGCCACACACTGTGGCACATGCATGTGCACACACGCGAAATTTAAAAAAAGAAAGTTAAACTCATTCACATGATTCATACACCATACCATCTACCCTTCAAAGAATAAAGCCCAGAGGTTTGTAGGATATCCCGAGGTGTAAAGCACCTCGTCTCGTTCCAGGACGTTTCCCTCGTCGCCTGTTAGCCCTTCGCCACTGCCCTAGCCTCTGCCCCTCCCATCGACATCCTGTCCTGGATCTGCCCAATCCAGACCTCTCAGACAAATCAAGTCACAAAGCATGTGGCCTTCTGTGTCTGGCTACTCTCGCTCATCATGAATTCTTCAAGGTTCTCCTATGGGTTAGCGTGTGCTGGTGACTCAGTCTTTTTCAGGGTTGAGTCATATTCCATTGTGTGGGATATGTATGACCTCATTTCCCTATTCCCTTCCTAACTGGATATCCTCTATCCGTCAGATCTTATGACTAATGCTACTGTGAACATCTTCGTGGTTTTGTTTTTCAGGTGTGTGTGTGTGTGTGAGAGAGAGAGAGAGAGACAGGGTTTCTCTGTGTAGCCTTGGCTCTCCTGGACCAGGGTTTTAGCTTTGTAGACCAGGCTGGCCTTGAACTCACAGTGATCTACCTGCCTCTGCCTCCCTGAGTGCTGGGGTTACAGGTGTGCACCACCCTGTCTGGCCATCCGTGTAGCTTTTGTTACTGGGTATTATTTTTTTTGCCTTTTGAGACAGGATCTCACACAACTTAGGTTAGTCTAGAATTTGCTGTGTAGTCAAGGATGACCTTAAACTCCTAAACCTCTGGCCTCACCTTCCTGAGTGCTAGGATCGCAGGTATGAGCTATCATGCCAGCTTGCACAGGTTTTATTTTTAAAAGTGTGTATATGTGTCTGTCTACGTGGGTGTGTATGGAAACACGTACGCCAGTTCTCACGGAGGCCAGCAGAGGGCACCAGGTGCCCTGGAGCTGGGTTAACAGGCATTTGTGAGCCTCCCAAAGTGGGCCTTCTGGCCCAGCTCTGCCCATGCCCAGTTGTGTGTCCCCGGGCCAGCAGACACGCCCTCCCCCGTTCGTGCCTCCCACCCTCTAGGGTCCAACGGGAAAAGCAAGGCAGTTGTGCTTGCCGGGCCCACTACACAGGTGCCCAAGCCACCTCAGCAGCAGCCTGCCGCTCACCTCGGCCGCCTCCTCTCCATTCTGGCTGTGCTCGCCCTGCAGCCTCTCTCGGAGCTTGCCGAGCTCCGCCCGCAGGCTGCCCATCTCCTGCTCCTTGGTCTGCAGGTCCGCCTCCAGCTCCACCTTCTGCTCGATCAGCGCCTTGCCCTGAGCCTCCACCACTGTGACGCGGTGCCGAAGGTCGTGGTTGATCTTCATTAGCCTCGTCTGCTGCTGCTGCAGCTGCAGGGAGAAAGAGGCACCCAGTGAGGCCGAATGTACAGTTACCAGGCTGTATATGCATGCGGCACAGGTATGGCACAAGGGCACACCCTCTTCAGTTGGAGCATCATAAACACATTTCAAATTTGTTTCTAGTTTTATGAGTCTTGATAAGGGATGATGCTACACACGTGGGCTTTTATTTATTTATTTTCTCTCTGTAGCCTTTGCTGTCCTAGAACTCACTCTGCAGACCAGGCTGGCCTCGATGTCACAGAGATCCACCTGCCTCTGCCTCCCCAAGTGCTGGGATTAAAGGCGTGCACCACCATGCCTGGCATGGGATTTTTTTTTTTTAATAATTTTTTTTTTTTTTTTTTTTATGTGCGTGGTCTGAGCACCACACGTGTGCCTCGTGCCTGTAAAGGCCAGAAGGGGGTGTCAGCTCTCCTGAGAGGGGAGCTGCTGCTATGACCTGTCCTGTGGATATGGGGAACTGAACCCATGTTCTCTGGGAGAGCAGCCAGAGCTCTTAACCACTGAGCTGTCACCTCTCCAGCGTGCTCTCACAGGTTTATGGATCCTGGCTCTCGCCGGCACCATGAAGTAGGGAGCATGGACTCAGATTAGTGATGTTCACTTACAGCCTCGACGTCCTCATTCTTCAAGCCCAGCTCCCTGTCTTTGGCTCGGATCTCATCCCTCTGCTTGTCCACCACCTCCTTCAGCCTCTTCATCACCTGCCGCTCTCGCTCTGACATGCCTGGTGGAAGGCAAGACCAGGGAGTGAGCCACCCCCGCCCCAGCATAAGCGTCCCGTAGAGTCACAGTGCATGAGGGCTAGAACTCTCCCTCAGGGCCCAGTGTCCCCCTCAATTACCCCTCGAAGACCCTGGTGCCTGCTTCTGCCTCCAGTCTCGCCAAACACATTCCTACCTCACTGTCGCTCTGTCTTTCCCTCTGCCTGACACTCTTCCTTTTGACCTCCCTCGGCTCATGCGCTTCCATTTCATCTGGTAGGTCCCTTCTACCAGATGGCTCCCTTCCCCCCCGCTGAGACTCTCCTGCCCCTTGCCTCACTTTCTCAGCACCTGGCAACGCCAACACGGCCCTCCAGCTGTCCTGACTGGTGTGACCTCACTGTGAGGGAGCCTCCAAAGCTCACGCTGACCCTGCAAGCCACACCCGGCTGTGCGGCTCTAGGCTTCTGCATTTGTTTCCAAGTTCATAAACTAGGAGGGTAGCTGCACCTACCCAGGGCAGATTGGAGGATGGGTAGAGCCAACACACAAGGCCAAGAGGACGAAGCATGCGGTGGGCAGCCAGGACAGCTCCCCTCCACTACCTCATGCCTCCCACACACAAGGTGCCATCCAGGCATCTGGTGAAAGTAGGGAGTGGTGGAGCACGTGGTGTCGCGTGTCTTTAGTCCCAGCACTCTGGAGGCAGAGGCAGGTAGAGCTCTGTGAGTTTGAGGCCAGCCTGGGCTACCTGGTGAATTCAAGGCCAGCCTAAGCTAAATAAAGAAACCTTGTCTAAAACAGAAAAGGCTATTTGGTGAACCGGGAATGGTAGCACACACCTTCAATCCCAGCACTCTAGCCAGAGGCCGAGGTAGGTGGGTCTCTGTGAATTCAAGGGTAGCTTGGTCTACATTCCAAGGTCCGGCCAGGTTAGCCAGAGCTACACAGTGAGACCTTGCCACCAATCTCATACCCCACCTTTAAAAAAAAAAAAAAAATCAGAAAGCAGGCCTGCTGAGAAGGCTCAGCGCCGAGTAAACAAAAGATTAGAGTTCGGGATCACCAGAACCCACTGAGATGGGCATAGTGCTTCTCATGACACTCCGGCCTCAGGAAGCAGAGGCTCGAGACCGGCCACACTCAGGAGCTGCCCCAGTGAATACAGGAGAAGAGACACAGAAGACTACTCAAACCTACATCAACTCAAGCACATATACACAGGAGAAGAAAATAATTAAAAAAAATCTAGTGAAGGTTGGTGGCACGTGCCTGTAATCCTGGCACTCTGGAGACAGGGCAGGAGTGTTGCTACAAGTGTGAGGCCATCCTGGGCTACCTAGCGAGAGCCTGTCTCCATATTCCCTCAAGACATCCACAGGATGGCTGTCCAGCAAATTTGACAAACCCATGTGAAGAGGCCACATGTGGTGGTACCCATCTGTAACCCCAGCTTCTCCACACTCCCGCCCCCGAAGACGGTTTCTCTGCATAGCCTCGGCTGTCCTGGAACTTACTGTGTAGACCAGGCTGGCCTCAAACTCACAGACATCTGCCTCTGCCTCCCGAGTCCTGCATTACCACTGCCCGGCTACCAGAGTGGATGTTTTACTCCAAAGGCTTCTGTGGTGATCACAAAAGAGATCCAAACGCAGCACTGGTCACTATTCAGAAATCTAGCGGCCCAGGTAAGACAGGTGCTTCTGAGCACCCCTCCTCCCCGTAGCCCACCTCCACAGAAATCTGACCCCTGTACCTGAGTCCTCATACAGCCCTTAGCCCTGGCCATGGCCATGTCACTCCTGACTGGTTCTCAAGATCACCAGCGCCACCCTCCTCCTCCCGGGGCAATTCGGCCGAATGCCTGTTTCTCTGGTAGGTGGGGAACGCTTGGTCCCTGCTGTGTTCCCATGGTTTCCCCACAAAATAAAAATAACCTTGAAGGCAGCCTGGCATCTGCCTGCCTCTTCGCATGGGTGGGGGCTGCAGCTCGGAGAACACAGCTCCCCAGCTGTCCCACGGGAGCCATGCACACTCCGTGCTCAGAGCCTCTCCCGCACACACCTTACGCTGGTCCATGCTGATTGGCAGGGCCGCACTCTCAGAGGGAAGAGGCCACAGAGAAAGCAGCTCAGAGCAGCCCAAGGTCTCTGAGGCTCTGCCAGAGTGGGCAGTGCGATCCCCAGATCACCCACAGAGGCCTCTGGGTACGTGGCAGGAATATAATAGCTCACCCCAAGATTTTCCTATGTAAAATGATTCCACACATCCATTCCTAGATGTGGACCCCAGAGAGCTGAAACCTGGCCTTCCCACAGACACCCAAAAGAGGTTCACAGTGGCCAAAAAGTGGACACAACCAGAAAGCCCCATCTATGGATGAATGACAGACATGGTCCAGCCACGAAATGGAATAACATACAGCAATTAAAAAAGAGGGAGAAACCACTGAAATCCACTAAAATACAGTCAGGCCCTGAAAACGCTAAACTAAGAGGCCAGAACACTGATGAGAGAGACTGCTACTGCTTTCTCCCATTCAGACTGGGTAACAGAGGCACAAAAAGGTCTTGTGAGTCCATCAAATCACATGACAGGTCAGGGTGGGGCCAAGAGACCATCTACTCACGGTAACACTCTGGTTTCTTCTCTCTTCCCTTCCCTTCCCTTCCCTTCCCTTCCCTTCCCTTCCCTTCCCTTTCCCTTCCCCTTCCCCTTCCTTCCTTCCTTCCTTCCTTCCTTCCTTCCTTCCTTCCTTTCGTTCGTTTTCCAAGACAGGGTTTCTCTGTGTAGCCTTGGCTGTCCCAGACTCACTCTGTAGACCAGGCTGACCTCAGACTCAAAGAGGTCCACCTGCCTCTGCCTCCCAAGTGCTGGGATTACAGTTAACCATCTTCTCTTACCCTGACCTTCTAAGTTTCCCTCAAACACTCATACCCCAGGGCCTTGGCATGTGCCACCTATTCGTGGCATGAATGTGATTCAAAGTCCCCCCACCTTTTTAAGATAGGGTTTCTCTGTGTAGCCCTGGTTGTCCTGGACTCACATTGTACACCAGGCTGGCTTCGAACCCACAGATCCTCCAGCCTCTACCTCCTGAGTGCTGGGATTAAAGGCACACCACCACCTCCTGGCTTCAACATAACACTTCATTAGGGCCTGACTGTGAGGACGCTGATGACTGGACCTCAAATGACCCCAGGGTGCTGCCCTATGCCCCGTCTCGTATAGTGTTACATAGCATCAGTCGCCACAAATCGGAGCCAGACATCTATTTACTGCCCATCTCCCCTGTGCTAAACCACAGTTTCAAGTGGCCAGGGTCTGGCTTGGCCTCTGCGTCCCAGGGCCCAGGGGAACCATGGAGGACAGCAGAAAACCATGACAGCTAAGTGAGTTTCGGTCAATACCCGTGAACTGGACCGAAGTCAGTTCTCTCTCTGGGAGAGTCAGGATGTGAATCCACCTGCCCACAGGAGCCAAAGGCGCCTGGACTGAGGCAGCGGCCTCTGAGTGGTCGAGGGGAGCGCTGGGATGGGGTGCCTCACCTTCCTGCTTCTGGAACTCCTCCTCAGAGAAGCCCACCTCCTTGTGGTTAAGGTTGGTCATCAGCTGCTTGTTCTCCTCCTGCAGCTGGGCAATCTGGGACAGGAGGTCCTGCGCCTCGCCCCGCCACACGTCCTCCACCAACTCCAGCTCCTGCAGCGGGGACACAGGGTCACCCGGGGTCAAGTGCGCCCACCCACCCAGAGAACTGCTCTGCTTCTGGGACTTGGAGCCACCCTCTTTCCCCAAGGGAAGCGGGTCTCCGGCAGCAGGTGGCACACAGAGCCCCTTCTGCTGACGTGTGCTCCGAAGCCCTGAGGACCCAGCCCAGGCCACACTTATGTTCACCAACTGTGTGGATAAGCCATCCCTGGCTGTGGAGTCCTGACACTCCCCAGTCACCTCTTCAAGGCACAAAGAGGCTGCAGAGACCCTGTGACAGGGCCACAGCCCCAGAGTTCCTCCGCTCTCTGGGACAGGCATCTACTCCAGGCAGCCTGAGCAGCTTGTGGAAACACTCAGAGCCTCGGTTTCCCTCATTAGGGAACTAAAACTTCTGGGTTTACAAGGCATGTGAGGGGCTGGACGGATGGCTCAGTGCTTAAGGGCACTGCTCTTCCAAAGGACCTGGGTTCAATTCCCAGCACCCACATGTCAATCCTAAGTCTTGTGAGAGAACTGTTCAGATCAGTCTGTTACCAGTACTTACTCAGACAGGAGGATGTCTTCAAGTTAGAGGTTAGCTTACCCTAAAAGAACATCTCAGAACAGAATCTACAAAATCTATAAGGGACTGGGACACTGGCTCGGAGGTTACGAGAGCGTGATGCCGTGAGAGAGGATGCAAGTTTGGTCCCCAACACCTGTTTTTGGCCCACAGAGGCATCTTCACTCATGTGCACACACCCACGTACAGACACACAACACACACATAATTAAAAAGAATAAAAGGGGGTCAGGTGTGGTTCTTTAATTCCAATGCGCAAGGCAGAGGCGGGCAGATCTCTATGAATTCAAGGCCAGCCTGGTCTACATAGTGAGTTCCAGTCCAGCCAAAGCTACGTAGTGAGACTCCATCTCAAAAATAAGAAGAAATACTAAGACTATAAAATGAATCTTGAAAAAAATTAGTTGTTTATTTTACCTAAATGAGCATTCTGCCCATAGGGAGATATACTACATGCCTGCAGATCCCAGGGAAGCCAGAAGAGGGCAACAGAACCTCTGGAACTGGGGGCACAGGCAGATGAGAGAACTATGTGGTGCTGGGAACTGAACTTGGGTCCTCTGCAAGAGGAGTTAAGTGTTCTTGGGTCGAGGCTGCACAGTGAGACTTCGGCTCCATCAAACAGGTAAGAGCCAGAGTTGGTGATGTTCAGGCCTGTGGCGTTCTGCAGAACCATCTAGAGGTTGGCACAAATCCACCCAGGACAGAAAACTCCCTACCCTCAGATTGGCCCAAGACACGTGGCCAGCCTGGGAATAGTACTACACACCTGTGATCCCAACATTCAGGAAGCTGAGGCAGGAGGCTTGTGGTAAGTTAGGTGCCAGCCTAGGCCATGCCCTGCCCCCTCCCAAAAGACTCAGGAAAAAAACCGACAGGCTCACACCCAAAGGATCACATATGTAGATAAAGGTCCACAGCAATGTTGCTCACAGCAGAGGAAAGGGAGCAGCATCCATCAGCCCAGGAAGGCACTGACCTATCTCCACAACGAGACATAATCTGGACATAAAAAAGAATGAAATGGTCTGGGCACGGTGGCACACGCCTGTATTCTCAGCACTGGGGGAGGCAGAGGCAGGTGGATCTCTGAGAGTTCGAGGCCAGCCTGGTCTACAACGTGATTCCAGGACAGCCCAGGCTACACAGAGAAACTCTTGTCTCCAGAAAGAAGAAGAAAAAGAAGGAGGAGGAGGAGAAGGAGAAGGAGAGGAAGAAGAAGAAGAACGAGGAAGAGGAGTGTTACTATTGATAGCTCCAGCTAAGAGGAGATGCCAGGTACAAAAGGTCACACAGTCTGCACTGCCATTTCTATGAAATGTCCTAACAGGCAAATCCATAGAGAAAGAGGTAACCAGAAGCTAGGAGGGGCACCAAGAGTGATGGTTACTGTATAGAGTTCCTCTTTGCAGGCAATATAAGCGAAGGTATAACTGTGAACACAGGAGAGTTCACTTGGATGCATGAACAAGGTTCGGGAGTACCATGGCTGTGGCTGTGGCTGTGGCTGAAGGACTGAAGTTTGCATTCCTGTCAACACAAGCTTGCCTGTGGGAACCAAGGGCCTCACACATGGTAGACAAGTATTCTACCGCTGAGGCACACCCCGGCCCCTCACTAGGGGATTCTAGTCAGAGGCTACCACTGAGCCTCACCCCCAACCTCTCATTGGGGGATTCTAGGCAGGGGCTCTACCACTAAGCCACATCTGAAGCCCTCTTTTCAGACATGGTTACACTATGTTGTCCAAGCTGGCCTTGAACTCACTCTGTAGTCTAGGAGGGCCTTGTTCTATTTATTACTATTATATGATTACTATTATGATGATTATTATATGATTACTATTATGATGATTTATTTATTATTTTTATAGCATTCTGCCTGCATGTGTGCCTGTGCACCAGGTCTCACTATAGATGGTTGTGAGCCACTATGTGGTTGCTCAGAATTAAACTCAGGACCTCTGGAAGAGCAGCCAGTGTTCTCAACCTCTGAGCCATCTCTCCAGCCTAAATGGCCTTGTTTTAATTCTCCTACGTCAGGCTCCCCGTAGCTGGGATTACAGGCTTATACCACCAGGCCTAGATATGCCCACCCTGGCTTGAACTTTGTTCCCACTACAAATAGCTGATCTTTGGGTGAGTTCTTTAAACCTTGGGTGCCCCAGAAATGAAAGTAGTGTATGTCCCTTTGAGGGCTGTTGGGGGGATGAGACTGTCAGCTAGATGGAAAGGGCTGAAAATGGCACCTGGCACCCAGAAGGTGCCCACACAGTCAGGATGTGGCCAGCCCTCCTCTCCCTCCCACAGTCTGTCACAGGCTGGCCAGGTGGCCGGACACCCAAGTTCCTCCATCCCACCTTCTAGCCGAAAACGGTGGCTCTGAGGAAATGAGGGTGTGACACCTACAGCTGGCCCAAGGTGGTGAGAAATGGAGGCAGTAATGGTCAGGCAACATAATGCATATATGGGTGGCCTGGAGGCTGAGCCAGACCCTTCCTTTGCTCCCAGCTGGCACAGGCAGAACACAGAGTGACCCAAGTGGGTATCAGGAGTAACCAGCTAAGCAGGTGGAACAATGACCTCCCCCCCAACAAAGATGTCCACATGCTAGTCCCCAAAACCTAACAATACGTCACCTTCTATAACAAAGGGTACTTCGACCTCAAGGAGATCTGGTGGGTCTGTGGGACCATAGGGCCCTTTTAAAACGTTAGCAGGGGTCAGAGTGTGAGGGAATGTGGCATAGATTGGAGTCTGGAAGATGCTACTTGCTGCCTTTGAGATGAAGGAAGGGGCCATAAGCCAGGGGATGCAGACAGTAGAGGCTGGAAAAACTCAAAGAAATGGAGTTCCCCTAGCGCGTCCTAAGCCAATGCAGCCTCCCCAACACCTTGATTCTATTTTTTTGTTATTATAATTTCAGGTGCTGGGGACGGAGTCCAGGACCTCCCATATATCAAGCGTAAGATACACCCCTCCCCCAGCCCTGCCCTTTGTGTAGTTTTTTGAGACAGAGCCTCAGTAAGTGGCCCAGGTGGGCCTAAAACTTGCCATCCTCCTGCCTCAGTCCCATACACCACCAGGCCCAGCTGTTGAGCACAACCCATTTCCAACTCCTAGCTTCCGGAACGTTACCCAGGAAGTAACGTTCCGTGCCCATTGGTGTGACCCGCAGGTTCCTTGCTCCACTGCACCTCAGTGTACCCACTGTACAAATTACACAGCAAAACACATTTCTCCTGCTTTGAGCCATTGGTGTTGTCCTGTCACGGCAGTCACAGGAATGAATACAGATTTTAGCTACAGTTGGTTTTGACTCTCTTGTAGCCCAGGTTGACCTCAAACTCCCCGAATAGTCAAGGCTGGCCTCGACAACCTAATTCTCCTGCTTCCACATCCCAGTGTTAGGGTTCCAGGTATGCTTACTATGTCTGGTTTCTACTTTGCTGGGAATCAAACCCAGGGCCTCATGCATGCTAGGCAAGCACTCTACCAAATGGGCCACAGCCCCAGCCCTTTTTTTCCCTCCTTTCCTTTCTCTAAAATTTATTTTTACTTATGTGTAGGTGTGCGTCTGCTTGTGGGTACCGGCCTTCCCTCACCAAGACCTCTCTGTGGCTGGCTCCTCACCTCACTCAGCCCTCAGCTCAGGCAGTGTCTCCTCAGAAGCTTCCCTGAAGGGCTCCCTCTAGACAGCCTCCCTCCAGCTCCCTGCTTTACTTCCTTCATGACACTTAATCATAAGCTGATGCCTCTGTTTATTTTTAAATACATGCATTCACGATAGTACAGGGAAATACATGCTGGATTTCAAATGTTGGCGAAAAGATTTGGGGCCTTCACAAGTTTGCCCATCAGATCTGACCTGACCAGAGACCCACAAGGTAGGAGACAGCTGACTCCTGTGACTTGTCCTCTGATTTCCATGTGCGTAGACCTCCACAAAAAAATGCATACATACATGAAAAAATTTTTTTCTGTTTTTTTTTGAGACAGGTTTTCTCCATGTAGACCAGCTAAGAAAAAGTTTTTAACTTACAAAAAAAGGAAAAGGAGAATGGCGGCCTAGAGCTGTGGCTCAGAAAGTAGAATGCTTGCCCGGCATGCATGAGGCCCTGAGTTCCATTCCCAGAGCTGCATAAACTGGGACCAGTGGCCCACATCTGTATTTTCAGCACCAGGAAGGTAGAGGCAGGAAGATCATAAGTTCAAGGTCATCCTCTGATATATAGCAAGTTCCATGTTGGCCTGTTACATCAGACCTACTACAAACAAACAAACAAATGTTGTGTATAGGCTAGGCATGGTGGTGCATGTCTTTGATCTTAGGGAGTCAGAGGTAGGTGGATCTCTGTTGAGTTCAACACCAGCCTGGTTTACAGAAGAATTCCAGGCTAGCCAGGACTACAGAGAGACCCTGTCTCAAGGGGGTGGGGGAAACTGGGTTAAAAAAAAAAATCCATGGGTCTGGAGACAGCTCAGTGATGAAGAGCCCTGGTTGCTCTTGCAGAGGACCTGGGATAGACTCCCAGCAGCCACATGTTGGCTCACAACTCACAACTCCAGTCACCCTCTTCATGCCTCCACAGGCACACAGCATGAGGTACAGACATACATGAGGCAAAACACACATATAAAACAAAATTACAAATTAAAAAATATAAAAAAAACTTTTTTTTTTTCTTTTGGCGTTTTTGAGGCAGGGTTTCTCTGTGTAGCCTTGGCTGTCCTGGAACTCACTTTATACACCAGGCTGGCCTCCAACTCACAGAGACCGGCCCGGGGTGCTAGAGTTAACAGGTGTGCGCCACTGCACCCAGCTTCAGAATTTCTTCTGCCAAGGGTGGAGCACTAGTCTAGCACGAGTGAGGCCGCGGGTTTGAAATACAGCACCACAAGGAAACTAAAAAATAGCAGTTCTTAGGCTGAATCCGTGTGAGATTGAAAGCATCATGGATTTACTGGCTTCTAGCCTCTGGGTTAGCACTAACCTCACCCGTTTCCTCCTAGTATATACTTCTGCTGCTATCGACCAGCATGGCGCAGAACTGCAGGCCCTCAGGGGCCAGATCTTCACCTGCATCCCCAGTGCCCAGAGTGGTGCCCGGAATACTCAAGTGCATTTGGGGCTTGTGGAGTGTGGAGTACAGAGGGCTTGCTTAGCATGAGTAAGGCCCTGAGTTGAATCCCCAGCTTTAAAACTACGTCCATGTAATTGTTGAGTGAACAACACAGACTGTGTGTTCTAGGCAGGCATACCCACACAGGCCCTGCTCGCTCTATTCCCTCACCCAACCGCTGCCTGACTTGAGGATCCGGCTTGCTTTCCCCCTGCCCATCCACACCACCCAGGAGAGCACTCTGTGTACCACTTATGTCCGTAGGGTTGCACACTGCATTATCAGACAGAACCATGGGTCCCTGGCCTGGGGCTGGGCGATGAGGCCGGCAGAGTGAGTCTAAGTGTCTGAGGAAGGACAGGGCACACACTGCCTCTCTGAAGCTGTGTTTACAGAGACAGAAGGAAAGAGAAGGGAGAGCTGAGGTGAGAGATGGACCAACGGCATGCTGAGGTTTTTGTGGGGGGGAAAATGTAGCGTGAAGTGCCTCCAGCTGTAGAAGAGAGATGGGATGGGCCTGTTCTGACCCTCTACACAAGCCACACAGAGGCCTGGGCTGGGGGAGGAGGGATTCCATTCTAGCTGTTTACAAACAAAAGCTGGTGCCTACTTCCTGGCTGCAGCTGGTGGCATTTTGAGGCAACAAGTGCCGCTGAGAATTCCGTCTGACTTGGGTGACCTGTGAAGGCCCAGGCCAGCAGGGCTTCTGGCAGACTTGGGGCCAAGGTTGGATTTAGCATAAAGGACTATGAGGCCCTCATTCCCCAGAGGCCCTGCCGGAGAAATGGAATTTGGAGGTAGGATGTAGAAAATGCCTGGGAAGGGGGGGGCATCTCAGACTTTACACCTCCGAAGCTTGGGTCTCTGGTAATAAACTCCTTTACCCACTGGGCCATCTTGTCGGCCCCAGGGTCTGGCCTGTGCTCTTTGTGTCTACTGACAGCCCCTGATGATCATCACTGTCCTACAGGGTGGAGTCTGAGATTACCCTGTGATAGCAGAGGACACGGGGACACAGACAGGCCAGTGAGCTTTCCCAAAGCCTACAGCCTGCCAACTGTGGGGTTTGAAAGCAGGCTGTCTGGCTCCAATGTCCCACTGGTCCTGAGACTCTGGAAATTAATTACAGGACTGAGGGAGGCACTTTCCGGCTCGGAGTGTGACCCTGGAAAGGAGGCTGACTCTGAGGAGCTCAGTTTCCTTCCTGACCCCAGGGCACAGGACAAGGGGGTGGGGTGGGAGAGTGGATAAACACATCAGCGCGCACACACACACACACACACACACACACACACACACACACACACACGCATGATCTGTCTGAAGGGTGAGGACAAACACCTCACTTTGACCATAGTCTCAGAGAACTCAATCCATCCCAACAGTACACAATAGAGGATGGGCCTGCCAGGGAGTTTCAGAGAGGCCGACCAAACTTCCTGAGGCCACACAGCAAGCCAGAACAGGTTCTAGCATCCAGGGAAAAGGAGTTTCCTCCCATTCCTAGTCTGAGAGGTCTGTCAAAAGCAGCCGGAGCTGAGGTTAGGGCAGGAAACCACATGTCTGCTGCTTCCCTTTTCCAGGCACCTAGTCTGATCCTCTCTCTCCAGGGCAGGTGACCTCTCCAGAGGCAGAGGGTGGGCCTGAAAGCCACCTGCAGCTCGGCCCCCCAAGTCAAGCAGGCTGGAGAAGAAACCCTGGAAGCATCTCCCCAAAGTGGGGACCCTTTCCTTCCTCATCTGCAAAGCGAACAAACTCTTCACTCACCTCACAGTGTTAAAAGAGCCAAAGGCAAGAATCAAGGCAGGGAAAGCACCCCAGGGTGCAGGTAGCTAGACCTGGGAGGTGAGGGGGCTTGAGAAGAAAGTTGTGACTATGAAGCCCGAGGATTGGAGCTCACTCCAAGCGCCCCGAAGGTACTTAGGGTAGGATGAAAAGGGAGGGCCGGGCATCTGGTGTCACACCTCAGGTCACAAAGTAGGGTGGGTGAGGACTGACTTCCTTCCTGGAATAAAATAATACTATCTACTGACCGTGCCCACTGCATCCCGTTTTGGTCCTCGTGGGTGGGTTCTACTGTAACCATTGGACAGACCAGGAGACAGAGCACAGAGAGGTTCAGCAAGTTACCCAAGGTCACACGGCTATTCAGTGCTCCAGGCTGGGCTAAGAGGACCCGGGCCTCCCTTCCTCTCTCACCCTGTGAATCCCCCCGCTCCACTCCAGGCACTGGGACACTCTTCTACACAGACACCAGCGGCTGCCCGGGACCGAAAGGCACCCACAGAGCCAGCGCCCCTTGACCCGACAGGCAGACTGAGGCCTCCGCCCACCTTCTGATGCTTGCGCTCCTTCTCAATGCGGTCCATCCTCTCCACGCGCAGCCGGTCCAGCTCCAGTCGCAGCTCGTCCAGCTCGGGAGCGACATGGTGCCGGCTAACCAGCACCTCCAGGATCTCCAGGACCCTCACGACCTTGGGCATGAGGCGTGCGATGGCCTCGCAGCCGTGTTGGTCGATGACCCTTTCGAACTCGTGGCCCACGAGCGACGCGATGTCGTACACGTCCATGACGGTCAGCTCCGCCACGTTCTTCTCCAGCGCCGACAGGGCAGCGGGCGGCGACCCCAGCGGCTCCTCCATGGCCCCGCGCGGGCCCCGCGCCGTCCGTCCACTCGTGGAACTCGTGAACTTGGGGCGGAGGGGGGGCTCTGTAGCACCGCGGGGAGGATAGCGAGGGCGGCGGCGCGTGCGCAGGCCCGCAGCGCCTCCCGACTTTGAGGCTCCGACTCGGAGCGATGGAGAAGCTGGTCCCGGCCTGGGAGGCGGGTGGCGCCCGGTGCCCGGAGGGATCGCGGCCCGAAGACTCCTCCCGGGGAGGAGAATCAAACTTTGGTGACTCCGGGTGGTCGGCTCCTCCCCGCGGGGACGCTGCGAGGCGACGTGAGCTCGGACAGGGGAGTGCGTCTCCGTCCCCGGGGGTCCCGGTATGCAGCCCCGCTGATCCCGAAGCTCCGCCCCCGGCTCCGGTCCCGCCTCCTGGGCTCCGGTCCCCACGACCCCGGCCCTGCTCCGCCTCCTCCAGCCGTGCTCCGCCTCCCTGGCCGCGGGCGCCACGGCGCGCAGCCATTGGCTGATGGGGGAGGGGGCGGAGTCTGCCTGCGCAGGGACAGGGTCAGGAGGTGGGCTCACCCTAGCATCCAGCTATTGCTGGGGGACCGCCGACACGCAGGAGCTCCGTGCTGCTCCCTGCTTAGCCCAGCCCCGGGTTCCCCACCCTGCGCTCCAGCGGGCGCCTCGGTGACAGCAGCTCACGGCGCCCTGGGGTCCTCGGTCTGCAAAGCTGGCCGATGCCTCGCCTGGATTCCATCCTGCGGGACCCTTTGCCCCCTGGAGGTCTACCTTTCCTCTGCTCAGGGGTCCACCGCGACTCCGTGGCAACTTCAGCCGACGCCCCAGAGCGTCCTCGGTCTTCAACGCCGCTGCCCGCCCAGCCACTGCCCGGCAAGCTGAAACAAAATGTCACTTCGTCACTACGCAGTGGAAGAAGACAGGCTGCGGGCATGAGTCTCAGCCACAAGACGGGTCCTGAGCTCTCTTTGACCTTTTGCTTCAGCAAGTCCACTTGCCCATCAGACCCCAGCCCAAGCTAAGAGGGATTACCCTGAAATTGCGCCCTCCCCCTACTCTTCTGTTCCCACGATCAAAATGTGCCCTCATACATAGCCTTAGGTGCTGAGAGGTCCTTGGTCCTTCAGGATAGAAATGTTTCTGTTTCTTTTGAGTTGCTGGCCTGCAGCTCACTATGTAGACCAGGCTGCCTTCGAACTTAGATCTCACTGCCTCTGCCTCCTGAGTGCTGGGATTAAAGGCAGGCACCACATTTCGTCCCGTTTACAATATAATATAATAATGATAAAATGATGATGATGATGATGATGATGATAAATTGAGGAGGCCCAGAGGTTGCAGTAGCCGCCACCCACCCCAATCTTCGTTTGCTCTGATTCGTGTGTGTTCTCAGCTACTACCTCCCAACCACTCTCTGTAAACATGAAATGATAACAGCGGAAACAATGTATACGTTAAAACGTATACATTCTAACATACTTTTAATAATGTTATTAGGATAATCCTGCTTTATTGTTACAAATCTCACTTTTGTGCTGTGCCTAACTTATAAATTACAGCTTTGTCACAAGGTTTACATATATAAATATATAAAGGAAAAAAAAAAATCACAGTAGCTGGGTTTTTGTCTGCCCCTGAGGCTGTTGCCCTGGAGGGAGCTGTAGCAGGAACTACTGCACGGAGGGGGTCTGGGGAGCTGCGCTGGGGGAGTGGCTGCACTGGGAGCTGATGCACTGTGGACCTGTTCTGATGCTGCCGCACAGGCACAGTGTGTGTGTGTGTGTGTGTGTGTGTGTGTGTGTGTGTGTGTGTGTGTGTGTGTGTGTGTACTGGGGGATCTGTTGCAGGAGGGGGGCAGGGGAGGGGTTGCTGCTGCACTTATCTGTGAAATCTGCTGAATATCTGGAAAGTAGCTGACTAGCACAGCCCAGCTCAGCACCTGGAGAGCTTTGTCTCAGGTTCTGCTCTAAGTACACTGTGCATTTTAGCTTATGCAATGTGTCTGTCAATCGAGGGCCCACTGTGTCACTCTAAAATTGTCTTTAAATATATATAGAGAAATAGATAGATAGATACTATATATTATTTGCATTGTGTATATATGTCATAGCTGTGTGCATTCAGATTGTATCTATACATGTTATAGCTGTGCTCTGTGTAAGGTTAGCTGGAGCCAGAGGCCAGATGGCAAAGGAGGGAAATGATCAGAAGAGGGAGTAAGATAGTAAAGGGTAAGCCGGGGTCAGGCGGTGTGAGCTGCGTCTGGGCACATGCCTGCAGTATCAGCGTGCTGGCTGTGGAGGCAGGAGGACTGCTGGACAGGAGTGGGAGTGTCCCCGTTGTGCTTGGTGACTCTGTAAGCTGAGAGGGTAAAGGCAGTCACCCCAAGTCTCTATCCCCCCAGTACAAGGACAGAACCGACTCTGGAAAACGTCCTCTGACCTTGAGTACGCTAAGATATGGGTTCCCACATGTGTGCCTATACACAAATAATTTTGGGTGGTGGTGGTGCACATCTTTAGTCCCAGCACTCGGGAGACGGGCAGGCAAATCTCTGAGTCTGAGGCCAGCTTCGCCTACAGAGTGAGTTCCAGGACAGCCAGGGCTGTTACACAAAGAAACCGTGTCTCAGAAACAAACAAACAAACAAAAACAAGTAATGCTAATTTTAAACCTGGGTGTGGCCCTGCATTCTGAGGACAGGCAGGCAGGGGGCTGGAGAGGTATTTCATTAGTTAAGAGCACTGGCTGCTCTTCCAGAGGACCCGGGATTCAATTCCCAGCAACCACATGGCAGCTCACAACCATCTGTAACTCCTCTTTCAGGGGATTCAACATATCTTCCCGCCTTAGCGGGCACTCGGCACACAGTGTGCGCAGGCCAAACATTCATAGTCATAAAATTCATTTGTTTTGGCACACCACACACACAGCATGCGCAGGCATAAACACAACACAGGCCAAACACTCATAGTCATAAATTCATTTGTTTTTTTTTTTAATTTAAAATAAATAAATGTTTAAAAAAATTAAAAAAGGAACTGACACGGAGTCAAGGTCACCTTGCTGTCTCGGGACCGCAGTGGGGCCCCAGGAAAGTTACCTCGTCTTTATTTGGATTATTTTCGTTTGTTAAAATGGGAGCAGTTTCAATCATGGAGACTTCTGTCCCTCAGGATTTTTGATGAGGAGTGATTAAAGTGTGTGAAGTCCTCAGAAAGGCTTGCTGTCCATTTGTTTTTGTATTTATTTATTTTCACCCAGTCATCTCTTTTAATGCAACCCATTTCCGTTCGTTTCTTTAAAATCCTTTTATTTATTTTTGTGCATAGGTGGGCACAGGGGGTGCTTAAGGAGGCCAGAGGAGGCCATCAGACCCCGGAACTGGAGTTGTAATAGGTTGTGAGCTGCCAGGTGGGTGCTGGGAATGGAACCTGATTCCTCTGCAAGAATAAGTGTTTCTAAGCACTAACCCATTTCTCCAGTTCTGTTTTGTTTGTTCTTTGCGCCAGGGTTTTGGTGTGTAGCCCAGGCTGGCTCTGGACTCCTGGTGATCTTCCTGCCTTCACTTCCTGGATGCTGGGATGAGAGGTCTGAGTTATATTGCCTGGCGTCAAACCTGCGTTCTCATGATCCGCTCTGCTTGTTAGGAAACGTGCGAATGTGAAGGTTACACACGGGTTCACAAATCACGCCATGAGATCGGTTCCACGTGGGAGGTTTATTAGGGGAAGGGGGGAGAAGGGAGCAGAGACAGAGAAAGGAAGAGAGAGAGAGGGAGAGAGAGAGAGAGGAGAAGAGAGGAAGAGGAAGAAGAGTCAGGGAGCACAAGAGGAAAAAGAGAGAGAATCAGGGAGCAGAAGAGGAAGAGGGGGGGAGGGTTCCAGTTCTCTTATAGGGTGATCAAGGGCATGCGCAGGTAATTCCAGGTGGTCAGGATGTCTTTACAAATGCCTGAGATTCCAGAATGACTTGAAAAGCAAAAGCAGGAGAGTCTTTGAGTTCCAGGATATCCTGGGCGATGTATGTAGAGAAACCCTGTCTCCGAAAACCAGAAACCAGAAAAAAAAAAAAAAAAAAAAAAAAAAGGCCTTTTAAAAAACTAAGAAGTAGTTAAATAAATAAATAGGAAGAAAGCAAAGGAAAAGGGGCAACCCCTTGGAGGACCCATCCATTCCAAATGGAGGCGAATCTTGTATAAAATATGCACAGTGGCTAGGGGGGTGGTGTTTGGACATTCTCCTTGTCCAATGTGGAAAGGAAACTTCTGTGTTATTCAAATGCTGATTTCTGAGTTGAGTACAGGCCGGACTTCAGGGTTTTTGTTGTTTGTTTGTTTGTTTTGAGACAGGGTTTCTCTGTGTAGCCCTGGCTGTCCTAGAACTTACTCCGTAGACCATGCTGGCCTAGAACTCGCAGAGATCCACCTTCCTCTGCTTTCAGAGTGCTGGGATTAAAAACGTGCACCACCACTGTCCAGTATTGTTATTTTTATCACCTGTCTCAGTGTTTGTAAACACTTTGCTCCAACAGCTTCTGATTGGTTTAATAAACTGAAGGGCCTAGAGCAAGGCAGGCGAGTGTAGGCGGGGCTTCCAGGCAGAGATAGGAACTGGGGTTGGAGGGGGTGGAGGTGGAGGAGGTGGGGGTGGGGTGGAAGTGATGGAGGTGGTGGAGGTGATAGGGGGTGGGGGTGGAGGTGATGGGGGTGGGGGTGGAGGTGATGGAGACTAGGTGGGGGTGGTGGTGGAGAATAAGGCTTGGAGATTTCACCAGCCAGACAGGGAGGAGAAACAGGGGACATAAGAGAGGTAAGAGAACGACTTGGCAGATGTAGATTAGAATAACTAGGTTCACTGAAGTTTTACACGTTAGCTGGGGACAGGTCTAAGCTAAGGCCAAGCTTGCATATCAATAAAAGGTCTCTGTGCAATTACTTGGGCAGCTCAGCAGCTACTCTCAAACCCCACCTCCTGGGTATGGGTGAGAGGGTAGGGGTTCTATTCTACTCTCATGGCCTCCAGCCTTCATGGGATACACACCATACACACAAACACAAATAAAAATAAGTTGTTGGGTGCTTGCTTTGGCTGCACATATACTAAAATTGGAACGGTACAAAGATTATCATGGCCCCTGTGGAAGGATGACATGCAAATTTGTGAAGTGTTCCATATTTAAAAATAATAATAATAAATTGCTGAAACACGGGGAGAATATCCTGTTGGAGGTTGTTTTGTGTACTGTGTGTTCAAATGCTTATTTCTGTACCCAGAGAACTGCTTGCAGTCCCAAACTTGGCATTGCAATTATCATGAAGCATCTCCTGTCCTGGTATGTTGCAAATATTATTCTCCATCACCTTCTAATTGGTCAAATAAAGAGCTGAAGAGACAGTAGTTGGGTTGAAGAGTTAGGGCGGGACTTCTGGAGCCCAGGTAGAGGGTCTCAGGTGGGGACCAGAGAGCAGGAGTTGCTACCTGGACATGGATGAATGAAACTGAGGAGAGGTAGAGAACCGCATGACAGAACATAGATTAAGCATAAATTTTTAAAAAAGCATAAATTAAGACAAATGGGTTAGGGGTCTGGAGAGATGGCTCAGCAGTTAAGAGCACTGGATTCTCTTCCAGAGGTCCTGAGTTCAATTCCCAGCAACCACATGGTGGCTCACAACCATCTATAATGGGATCTGGTGCCCTCTTCTGGCCTGCAGGTGTACATGCAGACAGAACATTGTATACATAATAATTAAATCTTAAAAGAAAAGAAAAAGATAAATGGGTTGGCTAGTTGGGAACAACAGTCTAGCTTAAGGCCTAAAGCTATTTTTTAAATATAAGTCTCTGTCATTATTTAGAGCAAGTAAGACATAGAAAGTCACACATTTACAGTATCCAATATCCTGGTGTGCAGACACATAGTTGGAACCTATGCAGACAGGGCCAGAGTTCCAGTATCTCCTGGGTCCCATGTCAAGTTCAAGGCCAGCCTCAGCAACATCAGAGCAATAAAAATAGGGGCTGGAGAGAAGGCTCAGCTGTTAAGTGTGTATACTTCTCTTGCAGAGAACCCAAGTTTCTCAGCAGCCATGTTAGGGGGCTCACAGGTAACTGTCCTACATGCAGGGGACCCCGCCCCTTCTTCTGGTCCCCCAAACCACCTGCAGACACCATACCTGTAAATAAAAATAAAGTGAGCTTTAAAACTGTATTAAAAATAAAGCATCACAGGACAACTATCTGGCCAGTCTTGGTGGCTTGTGCCTGTAAATCCTAACACTTGGGAGATAATGACAGCAGGGTCAAGAGATCAAAGCTGGGGCTTTAGGAACGACTCAGTAAAGGGACCTGTTGACAACCTGCGTTTCATCTCCAGGACACACATGGCAAAAGGAGAGAACCCACTCCTGAAGCGGTGCTCTGACTACAACACAGGTGTGTGTGTGTGCGCACACACACACACACACACACACACACACACACACGCACGCACCAGGAGGTGTGCAGGTCTCTAACCCCAGCACTCAGTGGGCAGAGGCAGGTGGATCTCTATGTGTTTGAGGGCAGTCTGGTCTACACAGTGAGTTCCAGGCTAGCCAGGGATTCATAGCAAGACCCTGATTCCAAAAGCCCCTCCCTTGAGCTGTCAGGTGTCTCAAGGGGAGAGGTGATTGGTGCCAAGCCTGGGGCTCTATGCCCAGGACTTAGGTGGTAGAAGGAGAGAACGGACTTCCAAGCATTTTACTCTGTCTCATACCTGGAGCACATCTCCCTTTCGGCCAAATGAATAAGCAGATAAATTACAAAGCCCTCCCCGAAAAGGCTTTTTAATTTGATTTTTGTCTTTTTAAATACAGACTGGGGCTTGAAAGAATGCCAGCACGGACTGTGGAGGAAAAGAAGAAACCTAGAGGAAAACTCCCTAGAGGGTGTTTCGGGGGAGAAGACTCCGGGCTGCTGTGGCGTCCCCTCCCCCCAGGTATGGCGCTATGGGGAAGAGCTACAGCCGGGGGACACTCCACAGTGAGGCAAAGGGGAGCAGCGATTCCGCGGGGGGAGAAGTCACTGCTTCCTGGAAACCCGGGCCGCCTGAGAGCTTGAAGCTGGCAGGTAGGCTGTGGCCCGTGCCGCCCGCACATCATGCACAGCGCGCAGCCAGCGGCGGCGGTGGCAGCGTACACCGGGAATAGGCTGGCATTTAAATAATCTGCAGCGCATTCAAACCGCCCTCTTCGCAGCCCCACGGTCCACTGCTGCAGCTCCTCCCCCTCCTGCTCTCGCCTCCTCCCCCTCCTTCCTGCGCCTCCCTCTTCTCTAGCTCCACGCCCACTCTTGTCTTCTGCTACCTGCCTCCCCTTTTCCTTTTGCTCCTCCCTCCCACTTCTACTTGATTATCCTCCTCCTCTCTTTCCTCCAGCTAGAAAAGCAGAAATTTCAGCCAGTGTGAACGCCATGGTGTCTGACAAATCTTTCCTAGGCTTCCTGTTGCTCTTCAGGTGGTCCAGAAAAGTCTGGACTCACCTTCCTTCTTCAACCTCTTTCATCTCATCTCTTGTTCCTTTTTCTTTCCTTCCTTCCTTAATTGGTTTTTCGAGACAGGGCTTTTCTGTGTAAGCATGGCTGTCCTGGACTCACTCTGTAGACCAGGCTGGCCTTGAACTCACAGAGATCTGCCTGTCTCTGCCTCCTGAGTGCTGGCATTAAAGATGTGAGCTACCACCACCCGCTGTCACCTAAATCAAGTTGTTTGATATTTGAAGATGTTTGAATTTGGAGCTCTGGCTTATACAGTACGTCTCACAATCTACAGTTTATTGTGTTTTCCCAAGATGTTAAATTTTCGCATTTGAAACGCTGGATGGTTGGAGATAATAGTATTTAATCTCTTCCAAATTAAAAATTGATGTTGCTTTTCTACATAAAAACAAATTCATTGTTGGGTGATTTTCCTAATGAGCTGACCTGGGGAAAGAAGGGCCTGGAGGGTGGGAGCATTGACCAAAGCTGGGAGACTTCATTGCTGTGAGAACTGTCACTGCAGCTCTAAAGCTCTCTTGTCACCTTAAGTGGAAAACTGCTGCCCCCTGCTGACTCTTCTCTCCCCCCCCCCCCCCCCAAAAAAAAAGTCCCTGAGATGTTCAAGGCAGGCTTGCTGTGCTGTCCTGTTTTACAGACCAGGAAATTGGGGCTAGTCACAGTCATAAGAGCCATGTGCAAAATGGAACTGCAAGCCAGACTCCTACTCCCCAAATGAAATCACCAAATTTGTGATGAGGGAAACTTGTGATGAGGCCTTAGATGGTCATGAGATGGCAGCATACACAAGGCTGGGCATTCTCAAGACTAGCTAGTGGCTGAACTTTTCTCCGTAAGAACAAACGTGCACTTCAAACACAGAGGGGATGGTGGCCGAACAATGTCCAGCAACGAGGAGGTGACATTTGAACTGAGTTTTGAGGGATAAGAAGACTGTCAGCAGGCAATGTGATAAACCCACGTGGGGGTTAGGGCTGGCAGCAATTCTGTGACAATAATGGGAGGATTAAAATTTTTAAGGAATCCGAGCAAGGGGAAAATTTGCAATATCAAGTGCACAGATCTTTCTTTTGTTGTTTTTTGAGACAGGGTTTCTCTGCGTAGCCCTGGCTGTCCTGGAACTTGCTCTGTAGCCCAGGCTGCCTCAAACTCACTGCTTCGCATGTATAGATCCTTGAAAGAAGATTTATTTTTATTCTTTTAACTATGTGTATGCGGGTGGGGATGAGTATGTGCGCATGAGTGCAGTGTCCCGCTGAGGCCAGAGGACAAGGCACTTTGGGCATCCTCAGAGGATCTCAGAGGGATGGTGTGGGGTTAAAAATGTTGAGTGGCCCCCAACTTAGATAAACAGGGTGATGGGGATCAAACAAAAGAAACAACACAAAAATTGAAGTTCTCATCTTTAGCACCCACTTTCCAGAGCCTCCAGTTTTGAGGCTGACTCCGAATCTCTTGCTATCTCCCTGGATAATCCTAAAACTGAATCCCCTATATAGAAGATCACTTTCTTTTAAGTGTTTGGGTCTGTACACCGGGTGTGTGCCCTGCTTGAGGATGCCAGAAGAGGGCGTTTGGTTCCCTGGAACGGGCGTAAGATGGTTCAGGACCAACAGGTGAACGCTGCACTCCAACTCCTCGGGTCCTCTGCAAAAGCAAACAGCGCTTCCGTGCGCGCAGCCCAAGTCCACGCGATCCTTAGTTCGAACGTCGAAAAGTTTGGGGCCGAAGAGTTTTTGGCTCTCTAGGGCCGCCGTCCGTGCTCAGGCTCCGCCTTGACCCTCCTCGGCCGCCGTGAGTCCGTTACGTGGCAGCTGCCGACGCCCGCCAACCAGCGGCGCCCGCATCAGCCCCCTCGGGAGGCGCAGCCGGAAGGGGCGGAGCTGAGGCGGCGGCGGCTGAGGGGGCAGCGGTGGCGGCAGCTCTGGAGGCCGCAGTCCGGGTCCCGGCTTCGGCCCGCGCCGCACCATGGTGACGTTTGCAGAGCTGCTGGTGCTGCTGGCCGCGCTGCTGGCCACGGCCTCGGGCTACTTCGTCAGCATCGACGCGCACGCCGAGGAGTGCTTCTTCGAGCGGGTCACCTCGGGCACCAAGATGGGCCTCATCTTCGAGGTGGCGGAGGGCGGCTTCCTGGACATCGACGTGGAGGTGCGGGCACGCTGCCCGCCGTCGGGGCGGCGTCGCGTGGCTCCTCGGGGGTTGGGGAGTACCGGGGAGTGCGCGGGGCCTGCGCACACAAGGGCGCGGGCCGGGGAGGGGCCTGGCCGCCGCCCGTCGCGCAGCCCCCCGACGGGCCCTGCCCGCGCGCCTCGGAAAGCGCTCGTCTTTCCGAGCGGCTTCGGGCTCCGCTCGGAACCTGGGCGCGGACTCGGCCTCTGCCTTCGCTTTGTCCCGCGGCGGCCGCGTGTCTGCTCGGGCGGGAGCGGCTCGCTGTCGTTCTCCGCGGTCCTCAAGGGCTCGCGCGCGGCGCGGCGCGGTGCGGAAACAAACTTTGAGAAAGTAGATCGGAAGCTGCGGAGTAGCGCTAAGGCAGAAGTGCCGGTTCTGGCCATACAGAAACCGGGTTAACTTCCTACCCGCTTCCTTATGCGAGCGGCCAAATGTGTCCCGCGAAAGATGCTCTGAGGTCAGTCATCTTAGCAAGGATTTCAGCCAAGGGTTTAGGAAACAGTTACTTATTTGGAGAATAAAAATGATTTGCCGGAGTTTTTGAGACAGGGTTGCATTACGTAGCTCATGGCATTGAGCTCACCTGCCCCTGCCTTCGAAAGGATAGGATGAAGGGCCTGTACCATCGTGTCCCGACAATATGCTGCATTAAAAAAAAAAAAACCAAAAAACAAAAAACAAATACAATAGTTTTAATTTGCTTGCTGGTATTTCCGACTGGGTGTAACTAGCTGACCGAAACTGGAGTTCAAGTGAGACCCCAAAGTTTGGAGGCTGCTTGGATTAGCCAAAACCCTAGATAAAGGTGAGCTTTTCCAGTTTCTCCAGTTTTCCAGGTGTCTGGCTCCAAAAGAAGCAGGCTTGGGCTAGGAACATGGCTCGGCAGTTAGGAGTACTTAGCTGTGCTTTCCTAGGTCTGGAGTTCTGTGTAGGTTCAACGCAAGCTGTGATTCCGGCCCCAGGACATCGGATACCCTCTTTGGCACCTACATGCATGTACACATATGGTCTTCAAAGGGAAGGTTTGACTGTGTCTGGCTGATGATTTGCATTGTCCCTGCTTGGGAATTTGGGTCTCCTAATTTCCAACCTGTTCTGTTCCCTAAGCCTTAACAGGTGTGTCACATAAATTACATCTTTTTGTTTCACAGTGATCATAGAAACCTCCAAACGTGCTTTATAGAATTATTCATTTTTTTGGCACAATTGATAAATTATATTTATATAGTAAATATTAACAGCACAAATCCAAAACCAACCTTGGGAAGGAGAAACAGCCGGTGACTTCCTCCAGCGTGTTCATAAAGAAGGACACGGCATGGCACATGTACAGCACACATGGCAGTGGCCAGTGGCTTCATGATCAGTGCAGTGGTTAGCGGATATGTCCGAGGTGGCCTCTGGCAGGAGGGAGCCCAGTGGCTATTGGGGTGGGGCCTGAGAGGCTCTGGTGTTCTGCAGGGGCATCACTGGCTCGGGGCACACCTAATCCCAGCACTTGAGACAGCAGATGGCCCAGTAATGAGACCCTATCAGAATAAGTACAAGTACTCATTTTGGAAAGCTGCTTCCTGGGTTGTTTTTGTTGAAGATGTTAGGATATTGGAGACCATGCATAGAGCTGTGTGGTTTCTGTTTCTGAGAAGCTTACATCTATTTGCCTTGAGCAGATAATACGTAAAGGTAGTTGGGCTGAGGTGCTTGAGGGAACCATTGAGTCTACTCTTGTTTGATTAAGTGGGAGAAGTATGCAAACTGTTCTGTGGCTCCCTGCAGCGGATCTGACCAAGTTTTAGTCTAGTGGGTTTTTTTCCTGCTGAAGGATGCTACTTAGGATCCTGAGTATTTAGTGACTCTTCTGTTTCTCTCCTGCCTCCAGATCACAGGACCAGATAATAAAGGAATCTATAAAGGAGACAGAGAGTCCAGCGGCAAGTACACATTCGCAGCCCACATGGATGGGACATACAAGTTCTGCTTCAGTAATAGGATGTCCACCATGACTCCAAAGATAGTAATGTTCACCATTGACATTGGGGAGGCTCCCAAAGGACAAGATATGGAGACAGAAGGTGAGATGTCACTTTTGACAAAGAGCTCATTTCAGCTCATTTCACTCACCCATCTGGTTGCAGTTGGTGTGATTCTTGTAAATCTCTCTTTCTGCTGGGCACACAGGCATAGACCTGTAATCCCGGCACTCTGGGAGGCAGAGGCATGCAGATCTCTGTGAGTCTGAGGCCAGCCTGGTCTACAGAGTGAGTCCAGGACAGCCAAGGCTACACAGAGAAATCCTGTCTCAAAAAAAAAAGTAAATAAAGAAATAAAATTCTCTTTCTAGATTCATTCACTGTCTTTTTTTTTTTTTTTAAGAATAATTTTTTTTTTTCAATTTGTACAGTATTCTACCTGCATGTAAGCCAGCAGGTCAGAGGAGGGCACCAGATCTCACTATAGATGTAATGAGCCACTATATGGTTGCTGGGAATTGAACTCAGAACCTTTGGAAGAACAACAGTGTTCATCTCTGAGCCATCTTTCCAGCCCCTTATTTACTGTCTTTAAAAGCAAAATTCCTGTTGAAGTGGCTGTAACCTGTAATTAGCCAGTGTCTAGAAGTTACTGTTTTTAGTGATTGATTGTCCCTTCTGGCAGCCATGGAGTCACTATTTTGTTCCTGCAAACCCATAGGCTCCGTGCATCTGAGTTCTGTTAACTTGCTAATCCTGGGCTTCATGTATACCTCTGTTTCTGACTGTAGACGTTCTAGCTTAGCTAAACTCGTTCTTTTGTTTGCACTTACACCTTTCTCTAGGTGGTGGAGACTCCTGGGATGGTATGTGGTTTGTTTTGTTTTTGTTTGAGAGCATCCTACTTTTTGGTTTAGCATCCTTTTGTTTCCTGATCTAATTTCTGATTCTTTTTCTTTAACCTCAGTTTGCTGGCATGTTAATGTTTTTTTCCCTTCTTAAAGCCCCCTCCAAGTATTTAGATTATTTTTGGCAAATTTGAAGACTTGGTTACCAGGTTAGATTTTAACTTGATCGATATTGGAATACTATGACATTTTTGTGTGACTTTGCTTAAAATGAATGCCCAACTAACTGCACAAGAAAAAGTGTTGCTAGACACCCTTTAGAGAAAGGGTTTTCTAGGCCTCCTCACTGCTAATGTTTCTTTTTCTTTTAGTTTTTTTTTTTTTTTTTTTAAGACAGGGTTTCTCTGTGGAACTTTGACTGTCCTGGACTCACTTTGTAGACGAGGCTGGCCTTGAATTCACAGAGATCCACCTGCCTCTCCCTCCTTGAGTGCTGGTATTACAGGCATGAGCCACCGTGGCTGTGTTTGCTGATCTTTAATGTGAAGTTTAGTTAGGTTTACAATACTGTGCAGAAGTTTGGCAGAACTCCTGATGAGAAGTTTGCTCTGGCTGAATATTCACACTATTTTCTGCAGTAATAGTAATTTTTTTTCTTCGGTGGTATTGGGGTTGGAACATAGGACTTTGTGCTTGGTAGGCAAGCACACATAACACTGAGCTGCATCCTTCTGATTTTAATGTGTATTTTTTTAAATTTTGAGATAGGCCCTCACAAAGTTGCCCACACTGGGCTTGCATTGGGATCTCTTTGCCTTAGGTCTCCCAAGTAGCTGTACCAGCAGGGTTGCCCTCCAGCTGGTTCTGGAGAAACTACTTTATTGCTTGCCAGCAGCCAGCAGTCCTGTTTTTTGTTTGTTTTTTAATTCCTTTGCCACAGCACATGGTAGAATTCGTAGAAGCTGGTAGCTGTTTGCCACATTCCACAGTATTTGCTTATGGCATACATATTTCAATATTGGGCGCTTTTAAGTAGCCATACAATGAAGGGGTGGTTTGATGTGGTTTTGAAGTCTGTAAACCTAAGATTTGTATTTGATTACTGTTTTTATTTTTCAGGGCCATTTATAATGCTGAGCTTACCTAATTCTTAGAAAGAATTCAGAGTTTTTAAGGAATTGGTATTTGTTCTCAGGAAATTGGTCCTTTTTACAGTAGCTAGAAAAATCACAGCTGATGAGCTTCTGCTTAGCTCTTTAGCCTTCTCAGGTTCTCGATTTTGCTTGGTGGTGGCAGGGTTAGGTTGCACCTGCGCTAAAGTGACAGTTTCCAAGTGGGTCAGTTTTTGCCTTTTGAGATGTTTGGCAATGTCGTATTCTATTATTGAAGTGCTGCTCTTAAGAAATCCTCAAAATATTTGACATAGTGCATGGGCTTTCAGAGTGAGGATGCTGAGGGCTGATTCCTCTTGTTCAGCATAGAGGCTTGCTGCTTGAGAACTGAGGATCATGTAGAGGAATTGGAATCTCATCTGAGGCTGGATCCTGGGCAGGGGTGAGGCAGCTGCCATTTGGGATTCCTCCTTGTGTTTCCTGCCTGCTTTTTAGTTAATGTGGTACTGCCTAGGAGCATAATTCTTCAGAGCAGGGCCGTCCCCATCCGCTTCCTCCCCACTGCAGGGTTTCACTGTACAGCTCTGGCTGGCCTAGAGCTCACTGCTAAATGAGTCTCCTCGCCTTGGCCTCCTGTGTGCTGGGATTAAAAGTGCCACCACAGCTGGTGTGGTCTACAGATCAGTTCCAGAAAAACCCTGTCTTGAAAAACCCAAAACTAAAAATAAAAAAAAAATAAAAAAAATAAAAAAAAAAATAAAAAAAAAAGGAAGAAGAAAGAAAACAAGTGCTAGCAGAACAGCTTGGGGAGAGGACACCTGAGTGGGTAAGAATGTTTCTGTCGGTCAGGACACTTGCTGAGGACCTGAGTCTGATCCCTGATTTAGGAACTCCTGAAAGTTTCCTCTGACTTCCAAATCCATTCCAAAACCCTTGCCACTGAAATAAATGAGGCCACTCTGTCTTGTCTATTTACGCATGCTGCTGCGCTTTGTGGTTAACACACTTGGAGCAGTGAGTGGCTGCGTGTTTTTTTCCTGAGTGTTCTTAAGTTTTGTGCCTGGCTTTCTATATTTAAAAGCCTGTTTTTATGCTAAATTAACATTGGAGTTACATGATTCTTAAAGTAGATTTCCATTTTAGTTTAAAACTTATTTGTATATTGGTTGTTTTGTTCATTTGTTTGCTTTTGAGGCAGAGTCTCCGGAAAGTGCAGACTGTATAGAAGAGGATGACCTTGACATTCTGGTCCTCCTAGCTGGTCATGGTGTCATACCTTTAGTCCAGCTGAGGCAGGCAGCTCTACGTAGTGAGTGAGTTGTAGGAAAATAGTGAAAGAGATAATAGTGAAACCCTGTCTCAACAAAAAGAAATTCAGGTCCATCTGCCTCCCTTGCTCCTAGGTATGTGCCACCATCCCCAGTTTCTGTGGGATCCACGTGGTGGAAGAAGAGAAACCAGGGCTTCCTTTGAGCTGGGCAAGCTCTGCTAATGAACCACATTTCCAGTGTGCCCTGTATTTAGTTTATTGCATATCTGCTCTGTGCTGCTTTTTTTTTTTTTTTTTTCTCTATCAGTAGTCATTGAGTTACTTAGTTATTTGGGAATAGACTTTTGAAGATGCTCTGAGAAGCTAACCTTAGCACTCAGGAGGGAGAGGTAGAGGCAGGCAGATCTTTGTGACTTCAAGGCCAGCCAGGACAGCATAGTGAGATCCTGCCTCCAAAAAAAAAGAGCTTAGAAAGCCAGGTGTTGAAGTACATGCCTGTGATGGTCACTTGTGGGTGGAGGGTCAGGAGTTGAAGTCTGGCCTGGGCTATCTGAGCTTGTAGCCAGGCTGGAACATATGAGACATTGTCTCAAAATGAACAGAACCAGCAGGAACAACTCTTAAGGAATGAAATATCATCAGTGGTTCAAATTGTTGCTGAGCTCTTTGTAAAATTTGCTGCTTTTGTGTGTCTTCTCTGAAGAATATTTTAACAATTATTTATCAAAATGAGATGACTGAATGTGTGCCGATCTATCTCTGAATCTTCGTAGCTCATCAGAACAAGCTAGAAGAAATGATTAATGAGCTGGCAGTGGCAATGACAGCTGTGAAGCATGAACAGGAGTACATGGAAGTCCGGGAGAGAATACACAGAGCCAGTAAGTTACCAGCACAGCTTGTGACAGGGTCTCCTGGTGACGGGAGCCCCTTGTGTGTAATTTTGCAAATATACCATAGCAAGACTTTGACTTCAGAGTTCTCCTGAAGGGTGGTCTGTGAGACGTGTTTATGGAGATTCATTATGAAACATTATTCTATACCATCAGTGTTTGTGTGTGGTGTTTTTGCTTGTTTGCCTGTTTTTTGCTTTGTTGTTTGTTTGTTTGTATTGTTTTGTTTTTTATCTTTTGAGATAAGGTCTCTGTAGCCCTGGTTGTTCTGGAACTCATTCTATAAGACTAAGTTGGCCTCAAACTGAAGAGAGCCACCTGCCTCTGCTTCTTGGGGTTTAGAGTTAAGATGTGCACTACCTTGCTTGCAAGCATAAATCTTTAAGAGTTTCTGGGCCGGTTTTTTAGATTTATTTATTTTTTTATTGTCTGAGTATGATTGTTTTGCCTGTATGTATGTCAGTGCACTGTGTGTGTTCAGTACCTACAGAGCCCAGAAGAGAGTATTGGGTCCCCTGGAACTGCAGTTACCTTGGTTGTGAGCAGTCATGTGGGTGCTGGGAGCCGAACCCAATCCTTTGCAGCAAATGTTGTTAACTGTTGACTCTTTTTCCAGCCCAAGAGTTCTTTGTTTTGTTTTGTTTTTTCTTTTTAAGTTTGTGATGAGGGCTGCCAAGAAAGCTCAGTGAGTGAGTTCCTTGCCACCATGTATGATGACTTGAATAGGAACCAACATGGTGGAAGAAGAGAATGGATTCCTGCAATTTTGGGGGGGAAGGGTTCCTTTTGTGAGACTGTATTCCTGCAGTTTGTTCTCTGACCACTACATACGTGGATACATTCACATTAAATCAATGTTCAAAAATATTTTTTTATGATCAACTAAAGAATAAGCTGGGCGTAGTGGTGCACACTGTAATCTCAGCACTCAGGGAGGCAGAGGCAGGGAGATCTCTGAGTTCGAGGCCAGCCTAGTCTACAGAGCAAGTCTGGGACAGCCAAGGCAACACAGAGGAAGCCTGTCCCAAACCCACTACCACTCACCCACCCACCCCCCGAAAAAAAAGAATAAGCTAATGTTTTTTTTAAACCAGAAAATGCTGTTTGATGCAAGTTAAATTACTTTTAAGTTTTATATTAGCATTCAGTGATGGTCAGGGGTTTGGCCTTCTGACAAGGAGGCTTTCAGTTGCTCAGTGGGTAAGATGCTTAACCACCAACAGTGATCACATACACACAGATCAACTCTGTCTGTCTGTCTGTCTATCTATCTCTACTTATTTCTTTTTGAGGCAGGTTCTCTCTGTGTAATCCTGGCTATCCTGGAACTCTTTAGACCGTACTGGCCTCAAACTCAGATATCCACCTGCCTCTGCCTCCAGAGCACTGCTCTACCACCAGGCTAGCACCCTGATTTAAAACAAAGATTTATTTATGTGTATGTCTGTGTGGTTGATTGTATGCCTCCTGTGTGCCCATTCTCCTTGGAGGACAGAAGAAGGTATCAGTTCTCTTGGTGCCAGCTTAAAGGTGGTTCTGACTGGCCCATGTAGGTGTTGATGGTCTGCAGAAGTGAGCTTCACGTCATGAAGTTCTTTGATTAACTTAGCTATTATTTTAGAATAATGTTAATAGTCTTTCACTCTTTGAGAGATTGATGGCCCAGTAATTATTTCAAATCTTGCTTTTTTGTTTTTGTTAAATATTTATTATTTATAGAGTATTCTGCCTGCATGTGTGTCTGCAGGTCAGAAGAGGGTACTAGATCTCATTATAGATGGTTGAGAGCCACCATGTGGTTTTTGGGAATTGAACTCAGGCCCTTTGGATGTACAGCCAGTGCTCTTAACCTCTGAGCCATCTCTCTAGCCCCCAACAAATCTAGTTTTTTAAAGAAATGGTATACACTAAAAATGGCTGTCAACTTATTAAGCCAAATAATAAATTACTCATTGTAACAATTTGCAATATTTGGCCATTTCCAGAGTAGTCAGAAGCCACCCAGTATGCACTAAGGTAATGCAGCTGACCATATGATGGACAGAGAGAGCAGAGCAACATACAGCTTAGTGACAGATCCCCCTTAAACTGTACACTAGCCTGCAGGTGGGGCCGTGCAAAAATAGTCCTCTTTACTAGTAACTGCCAGGGTTGGTCCACATAGCTGAGAGACTCAACAGTTGAGAACCAGTGCCAAGGACAACAGGTGCTCAGTGTTGAATCAATAGTTTACAAAAAAATTTTTATATATATATTTATTGTATGTGTTGTGTATGTATGTTTGTGTGTGGGCTTGCTCAGGCTGTGGCATGACAATGGAGGTTAACTTTGAGTTGGTTCTCCCTTCTGCCATGTGGGTATGAGTGTGGGTATGTGCATGTGAGTGTATTGCCCTCAGAGGCCAGAGCAGGGTGTCAGATCCTATACAGCTGGAGGTACAGGCGGTTGTGAGCCATTTTTCTTGCCAGGAATCAGACTTGAGTCCTCTGTAAGAGCAGTGTATGCTCTAACTGCTGAGCAGTCTTTCTAGCCTCAAATCCCTTGAGTTTTAGAAAGTGTGTGGTGAGAGAAGCTTGACTGAGCTTTAGCCCTAAAAGTATGAGCTTGGCAAGGGTCTCATTATGTGCTCTTTGTTTTGTTTCTTTTTGACACAGGGTTTTTCTGTGTAACCCTGGCTGTCCTGGACTTTTTATAGACCAGGCTGGCCTAGAACTCCCAGAGGTCCCCCTGCCTCTGCCTCCTGAATGCTGGAATTAAAGGGGTGCACCACTACCAACAGTCTGGCCTGGAGGCTAGAGCTCCTCTACTGTAGCTTCCTGAGTGTAGCGATTACAGGGTGTGTCAGCATGCCTGGTTTTCAAGGTCGTTTTTAAAGCTGTGGCTTTCTGGGTCAGGGTGGGTGAGTATTTATTGAGCTTGGTAGTGGCATGTTGCATAGAGATGATACCCCTGTGCTGCGTTGTGGGAGGGGTTGATGTTAAAGTTTGTTTGTTTGCCTCCACAGTCAACGACAACACAAACAGCAGAGTGGTCCTTTGGTCCTTCTTCGAAGCTCTTGTTCTAGTTGCCATGACATTGGGACAGATCTACTACCTGAAGAGATTCTTTGAAGTCCGGAGGGTTGTTTAAAAGGCCTTTTCCTGTTGATCCCAAATTCACAATTTACTTGTTTACCAAACTCATTGGTCATAATAATGTCATTAGTTTATACATTTTTATTTTCTGAATGTTCATGACTTCTGTTTCTTTGTGATTAGTAGGTGTTGGGGAAACCCTGTTTAGGAAAGTTAGAGTGAAAATTTGACATTTGATTGGCCTATAATTCTTAATTGAATGTTGCCCCATTATACAGGTCCTTCTAAGAGTTCAGAGGCTGTTAATGCTGTCTTCAGACTATGGGCTTTGTTATGCTTTTACCTTCGGTTTTCATAATAAAATGTACTCTGTCTAGGAGGTAGCTCAGCCTGACAATGCTTTGTTACCTGACTGCATCCTCAGAGTCCCTCAGATGTGGTTCATCATCACAGGTTCATTTTGTTGAGTCATTACAGCAACAGCGATCTGAATCTTGACCCTTCTGGCCCTGTCTCAGGGCACAGTGACCTGATGGGGTGCATTATGAGGATGGGCACTCATACTTTCTCTTGAGTTTGCTTTAAACTAAAGATGCATCCCAACACTTCCCCCTAAAGTTTTATATTGAAACTGAGAACTGAATCACCTCTATTCAAATTGACACAAGCAGCTGATAACTTAGAGGTCTATTGAAGCCAGTTTCCCGGCTGTTGGAACAGACTGTTGTCCCTCTGTCCTGCATAGTCTGTCCATTGTTGGCACTTAGGAAGAGCAAAATTACTCATGTGGAAGCCTGCACTTCTCAGGCCAAAGGCTTAAGCCCCTTGGATTGCTTGCAGTGACAGGCAGCCACTGTTGTCTTTTTAGTCAGTGGCCCTAGTCTTGAGTGTTAGCACTAGGGTTTGTTTGTCCTCTGGGATCTTTCTTTTTTGGCACATGTCAGTTTTGTTTATATAAAATGAAGAGACTCTGATGATGGGTGTAATGAAATGCACTCTGCTTTCGGTGTGGGCGATCCAGGATTATGTGGTGACTGATGTCTGTTGGTTACCTGGATATTTTATTTTTTCTTTTTGGATCTTGCAAGGGGAAAACTACAAGTAACAAGTTTTATAAATTTAATTTAAATTTGTTACAGGTTTTCATTTTTAGGAAAAATAATTTTTCAACCTTGGATGATATCTTTGCAACAGTTTGTTGGGAAGGTGACTTTCACCATAGGGCAGCTGTTGCATGCCAATATTTTTTTTGTGTGTGTGTGTAAAAACACTCAGAATTGAATTAAAAGATGTAAATTTAAAATTGGTTGTGTATCTAATATGCCCCAGGTTCAGTAAATAAACAATTCTTTTTAAAAACAGTAAGTAGTCTGTGGTTTATATTAATGCTGGTTGATTTAATTTTTTTTTTTTATTCCTCTCCCCCCCAAAGCAGGGTTTCTATTTTATAGCCATGACTATAAATTTAGATTTGATTTGTAGACCAGGCTGGCCTTGAGCTCAGAGATCCTCCTGCCTCTGCCTCATGGGATGCTGGGATTATAGGAGTGGGCCACCACTCCTGGCTCAATTTAAAATTTAAGTAGATTTTTTGTTTCTTCAGATGAGATATGCCCATATTTATGAACAGCTATCTTATGTCTTTTTTATTTTTGTAAACAAGGGTAGTGAACGAGATTAGCATTTTAAGCCAGGTATGGCGGTGCAGACCTTTAATCTCAGTACTTAGGAGGCTGAGGCAGATTGATCTCCGAGTTTGAGGCCAGCCTGATCTACAAAGTGAGTTCCAGGACAGCCATGACTATATAGGAGATTCTGTCTAAAAACAATTCCTACCAAAACCATAGAAAGTTATTAAAAGCCTGTTTTGTTTTTCCAAAGGTCAGTATTAAATATTTTAAGGTCTTTGGGGTGGAGGAAGTCACATTTGAATTAATTTTACTTTACCAGGTAGTTTATGGATATGGGAGAAGAGGCTGACGGGAGATGAAATGAATCACCCAAGGACATAGGGAAGGAAAGGTGGAACCAAGCTGCTAAGCCAGAGAGACCAGTTATCAAGTACTGTGTCCTGTGAGGTCTGCCGCCAATCTCTCTGTACAGGCCTGTTCTGTTGATGCTTCATAGCTGCCATTACCTTTTCTACAACTATTAAACAAACAGACTTGGAAAGGATTCCAAGTCCAGCAAAGTAGCAAATAGGCACACTTACCAGGCTGCACTTTATTGTAGTTGGGGAAGCTTTTCTTTGAGGATGCAATGAGGACTTTTTATTTATTCGTACCCCAAGTTTGCCATATGTGTGTTTGTGAAAAGCAAAAAACAAAGCCTCCACAGTTGTTTTGCTTTTTGGAGATGTGAACCTATGAAATGTACACGCTAAAAGTCCGTTGGGGGAAAGTAAGCAGGTGATCTGCTGTTTGGATAGTGGTCACTGAGAAAGTGACTTGGCCGAAGGGCTTCAGGAGAAGCCCTTAACAGCTGTCGGCGCGCAGTCTCAATTTGCTCAAAGAAAACTAGGCTGGCCAAGTGTGACCCTCGCTTGGCCGCGACATCCTGATAGTCATGCACCTTTTATGCCCACCGGCGGTGGGTCCCCAGCATGTTTTGCTTGTGTTCTTTGGGGACCCATGCGTGGCTGTTCCCTGTCACTTCCATCGCCCCTCCGCGCCCTAGCTGGGCGGGAGTCTTCCCTTTCCTAAAGCCTCTGCCCGCCCTCCGGAACGTCGTTGCTGGGGTGTAATTTTCCGCCCTGCAATGGACCAACCGGAAGCGGAAGTGTTCTCTGGTAGTGTCCCCTGCGGCGTTCCGGCCTGCGGCAGCAGTAGAAGCCCCGGAACTCGCCATGGAACACGTGACGGAGGGTACCTGGGAGTCGCTGCCGGTGCCGCTGCATCCTCGGGTGCTGGGAACACTGCGGGAGTTGGGCTTCCCTCACATGACGCCGGTGCAGGTATCGGGCCCGCGGGGAAGCGAGGCTGAGCAGTCAGCCGCTCGAGTGAAGGCTACGAGATCAGGGAGAACCCGATCGGGGCCGTGCTACGCCTTCAGAACCTCAGACTTCGTAGTGCCAGGCGGGTTACGATGCCCTCGCTGGGGTCTCAAAGCTTCGTGCCTGTTCTAGCTGGGACTTCGGACAGTGGCTCAATCTATGTCCTTTACTTCTGAGCAATAACAATCACTTTTTTAGCATAGTGGGATTAAATAAATCCGGGTGGATGCCCAGTGACTGTTACCTGTTGGTTCTATATGGGGGAAGAGAGTCTCCCTGGCTCAATTTATCAAAAAGCAAGCAAGCAAGCAAAAACCTCAAACCATTCATTAAGGACTTGGTATGTATCCGGGTCTCATCTAGGCTCTGGGAACCTGGCAGTCGTGGTAACTTTTCATGGGCCTCATTTTTTAGAGCAGATGTTAGAGTAAGAACCTTAGGAATGGGGTAATTTAGTTCTTGCTGAGTGTTATGAAGGAATCGAAATAGACAGGTGTGGTGGACTGTGAAGGAGCAGGCCTGTGGGTGAGTTGTCATTATTCTGAGACCTGAATGATCAGGACAGGTTTTAGTGTGACTAGGGGGAAGCTAATTACCGCAGAGAGAAATACAAATGCACAATGCACAAATGCCCTGGGGCTGCTGGTAAATCCAGTGCTTCCAGGGGCTGGATTCAGCGGTTGAGAGCCCTTGCTGCCCTTTCAGAAGGGCCAGAGTTGAGTTCCCAGCACCCATATTGGATACCTTACCACTGCTTATAACTCCAGTTCTGGGAGATCCAATACTCTTTCTTGCTGCCTCCCCCCCCCCCCTTTTTTTTTTGAGACAGGTTTCTCTGTGTAGCCCTGGCTCAATTTGTAGGCCAGTCTGCCCTCTAATTCTGAGAGATCCACCTACCTCTGCTTCCCAAGTACTGGGTTTAAAGGTGTGCACCAACCATGTCTAGAGTTCTTGCCATCTTGCATACCTCCATTCATGTAGTGTCCATTCAGACAAGGAGGCACATACAAATAAAAAGAAGTTAAAATCCCTCAGTCTCGCTATATAAATAAATAAATTAATTAATTTTAAAAACCTCAGTCTCTTCAGTTCCTTCCTAGTCCAAGAAGGAACAGTGGGCGTGTCAGGACTTGAATCTAGGACTCCTGACACACTTGTCCTTTTTTATAAAAATAGCTCACAATGTTTTTGTTTGTTTTTTAGACAGGGCTTTACTACTGTTGCTCTGGCTGACCTTGAACTTGATTTGCCTGTCCCTGCCTCCTGAGTACTGGGATCAAAGGCATATGTCACCACACCTGGCTACAACTTGTCACATTTAATTCAACCCTTTGTGGTGACTGGTTTACTCAAGATACCCTTGGGGTATGATCCACTGTGATGTTAGTCACCCACTGTGTTCTAGGACTTGGGTCTTTGCTGTGTGGTTGTGATGTGATTTAGTCAGTTTTTTGTACTCTCTCCCTGCAGTCTGCCACCATCCCTCTGTTTATGAAAAACAAAGATGTTGCTGCAGAAGCTGTGAGTATCTCATGCAATACAGTCTGTCCCTTGTTCTCCTAGTCAAGTGGACAGTAAGCCAAAAGCTTTGTCCCTTTGCAGGTCACAGGAAGTGGAAAAACCCTGGCTTTTGTCATTCCCATTCTGGAGATTCTTCTGAGACGGGAGGAAAAGCTAAAGAAGAACCAGGTGAGGTGGGCTGGCTGACTGTCACAGGGCAGGAGGGATCAGGCCTGTTTGGTATCCGAGGAGGCTGTTTTTTAATTTGTTGCTTGTTAAACCAAAGTCCATGCTGGAGTGCTCTCATGCCACTGGGGTAGTTTCTTGGTCTCCTGTGGATATGGTAGAAATGCCATTTTAACATTCATACTCTAAGCAGCTATCCTCATGTGCGATCTGTTTAATTTATTGCTTTTTTTAACCCCTTTTTACCTGAGGATCCAGCCCAGGACCTTGTGCTTCCTAGGCAAAGTGCTCTGCCATTGAGCCAAATCCTTAACCCCTCATTTTTGTGGCTTTTGTTGGTGATTTTGTTATTTAAAATGCCCTCAATGGCGACTGAAGAGATGGCTCAGTGACTGAGAGCACTTGTTCATCTTGCAGAAGACTTGAGGGTGGCTCCCAGGATCTACAGGGGGCCTTACAACTTTATAGACCGCTAGTTGTTGGGAATATGTCGCCCTCTTCTGGCTAGGAAGCACAGCATGTATGTCCATGTTTGCAGACTAAAAAAAAACGATCATGCATATAAATTAAGAGAAAAAGAAAAGCCTCCAGCATTGCCTGGGCTTAGAGTTGGATGCCTTTAATCCCAGCCCTGGCAGGCAGAGGCAGGTAAGTCTCTGAATATGAAGCCAGCTGGTAAGAAATGTGAGACTACACGGACAGAGGGAACTGGAACCAGCCTTGCTAGGGCTACACAGTGAGTGTTTTATTTTCCTGTTGCTGTGGTAAAACACCATGACCAAGGCAACTCATAGAAGGAAGGGTTTATTGGAGTTACAATTTTGGAAGGATCATCATAGCGGGAAGCTTGGAAGCAGGTGGGCAGGGGACTGGAGGAGCAAGCTGAGACCTCAAGCCTTAAACAGGAAGCAGAGAGCAAACTAGGAATGGTGAGATTCTAACTCTCAAAGCCTGCTCCCAGTGACTTCCATCATGGCCACACTTCCTGAACCTACCCAAACAGTGCCACCCACTGGGGATCAGGTGTGCAAATGTGTCAGACTGTTTAGGACATCTCATTCCAACCGCCGTTACCCTTCATCAAATAAGGAAATAAATAAATGCCCGGTTCAGTGCTGATGTGCTCTCTGGTGTTCCCTAAACATGTTATGACACGCAGAGAAAACTCATGTCCGGTGATGCTTCCTTCAGGCCTGAGCTGCAGCAGCACTGGTGACCATGAACTCATCAGGCTGTCATTTGTCACCCACTTGTTTGTTGATTTTTTTAAAAAATATTTTCATTTTATTTAATTAATTTATTATGTATATGGATGTTTTGCCTGCATGTGTGTCTGTGTACCACCTGTGTGCCTGGTGCCCATGGAGGCAGAAGAGGCCTTCAGATTCCCTGAAACTGGAGTTGCAGATTGTTGTGACTGCCATGTGGGTGGTGGTATTGAGCCTTTGGAAAAGTGGCCCATGCCCTTAACCACCAAGCTGTCTCTGTGGCCCTATGCTGGTTATCTCTTTTTTTGTGATGTTGGTCCTTGTTCGTGGTAGACAAGCGCTCTGCCACTGAGCTGCCCTTAAAAGCTCTCAATTTGGCCACTGTGCCCTGAGACTGCTGAAAAAATTACAAATACTGTTTAAGGATGGAGAGTGCAGGGCTACTGTGATCCACCCTGGGGCCCGTGTGCTGCTGACCCTGTGTCCTGCCTTGTGGACAGGTAGGAGCCATCGTCATCACCCCTACTCGGGAGCTGGCCATTCAGATTGATGAGGTCCTGTCACACTTCACAAAGCACTTCCCGCAGTTCAGGTGATGGGTTACATGGCACTTGAGGTGATGGGTGCTGGGGATTTCTGTTGGTCTGGCTTGATATTTTTCCTGACTTGCTCCAAGTCCCATTTCTTGCTTCAGTCAAATTTTATGGATTGGAGGCCGGAACCCTGGAGAAGATGTAGAGAGGTTCAAACAGCAGGGGTGAGTCTGAGTCCCTGCTGCTGTCCCTGTCCCTGTGCACTCAGCTGAGGGACCCTAGGCTCATAGGAAGTGCCCTTGGGGGTCCCCAGAGGGTTCTCCCTGTCCTTCTCGATCACTTCAGAGGCTCGGGTTACCATGAGAGTCAGGGCAGGTATGATTAATAACCTGGTGTGTAAAAGATGTGGCGCCCTGGGCTCCTGTTGCCAGCTTGGGAATATTTGAGGGTGTTCTACACTGTGCAGATACACATTATAAGCAGCCAGTGGCAGGGGCACACCTGCCCTCAGCCTCCTGGTTGAGCTCCCTCCTCTGCTCTCTCCTCCCTTTCCTTCTTTTCCTCCCTCTCTCATTTTCTTCCTTTCCTCCACCTCTTCCCCCTTCCCTGTCCTTTCTTTCCTCTTCCCTATGTTTCTCCCTCTCCCTCCTTCCTTATTTCTCATAGCCAGGATTTGAAACCTGGTCCTTATGCATACTAGACAAGTGCCATGTCACAGAGCCACCCCTGCCCCAGTCTGCTTTTCTCTTACAGTTGTGTTCCCTGATGCGGTATCTTGCCTCAGGCCGGAGGTTGGCCTGAATTGTGTGGGCCCTGTGATGCTGTATTGCAGTTTCTCAGCTGCTGTAGAAAGGTGGCAGGGATAGCATACAGTGGGAATAAAGGGTGTGGCTGTGTGCCAGCAGTGAGCTTACTAACACAGGTGGCCAGGGCGGCCTGTGGGCTGGAACGTGCCCCCTCTGCCAGAATACTGGCCTTAGCTACACCCTCCTCTCTCAGCCCTTGCTATTTTTACCCTGCAGCCACCATTCTCCCTGGGATCTAGATGGTTTTGCAGGGTGGGGACTTGGTGTGTTGGTAACTGTCGTTCATATTTCTGAGATGCAGAGTATAGTGCTAAATTGGGAACTTTCTTTTGAAAGCGGGAACATTATTGTGGCAACCCCAGGCCGCCTGGAGGACATGTTTCGGAGAAAGGCTGAGGGTCTAGACCTGGCCAGCTATGTGAAGAGCTTGGATGTCCTGGTGCTGGATGAGGCAGACAGACTTCTTGATATGGGCTTTGAGGCGAGGTATGAGAATGTGGACTTGCCCGCATGTGAGTGGACCTGGTAGATGCAGTAGGCTTTCTGCATTGCTCACACCTAAGGATGGTTGTTATCATTTGCTTTTCAGACCTGAGCTGCCTCAACCCTGTCACACGTTTTTGTTTTTGTTTTTGTTTTTTTTTTTTTTTTTAATTCCTGAGACAGGGTTTCTCTGTGTAGCTCTAGCTGTCTTGGACTCGCTTTGTAGACCAGGCTGCCCTCAAACTCACAGAAATCCACCTGCCTCTGCCCCCTGGTGCTGGGATTAAAGGCGTGCGCCATCACGCCTGGACAGTTCTTTTATTTGTAAAAATTGAATCCATATATTTATTTGTGTTAACATTTGAGTGTCATTCTTTAGCCCAGGCTAGCTTTGACCTCTGGATCCTCCTGTCTTTGACTTCTGCAGATCAGGAGTACAGACACGGGCCACTATGCTTGGCTAGTTCCAGTGTTTCTGTTTTTTATTTTCTGATAGTATGTGTTTTCTTCACATTTTCTGTAATTTGGGTATGTTGTTCAATAAACAGTCTTTTGGGTATCATTCACATGTAGTTTGTCATGTAGTTCATGTTGGCTATTATAGGCTTACATCAGAGAGACCCTGAAGGTGTAAAGAAAGAACAGGAATTATAATGCTTTTATCTGCCAGTGGTGTGAGCTTTAAATGTCCTGATGGCTTCTCTCACTGTCTTTTTTTCTCATGGAGCTGATTTTTTACAGGGCTACCAAGCCCAGGGCTCTCCCATATGTGTGGCCATCACTGAAGGATATCCCTAGCCAGCTAGTCTTTTAATAGTTGATTTACTTTGTTCAGGATCTTACTCTGTAGCCCAGGCTGTTCTAGAAGTTAACCATGTAGCTTAGGTTGGCTTTGGACTCTGCAGCCATCTAGATTCAGCCTCCCTCCCTCTGTACCTGGCTTCTCTGTGCTTTTTAATTCACATGTACATGTGTGTACTCTCTTCCCAGCATAAATACAATCCTGCAGTTTTTGCCCAAGCAGAGAAGAACAGGCCTTTTCTCAGCCACCCAGACACAGGAAGTGGAGAACTTGGTGCGAGCAGGCCTCCGGAACCCAGTCCGAATCTCAGTGAAGGAGAAGGGCGTGGCGGCCAGCAGCACCCAGAAGACGCCATCCCGCCTGGAGAACTACTACATGGTGAGCACAGCTTTTCCTGCTGTGCAGCAACGCAGCAAGGACGGTGGACCTGGGGGTGTGCTCACAGCCCACCAGAAAAGTAAATGTAGAGATGTAGTGGGTGTCGCATGCCTGTAATCCTAGCGCTTGGGGAGGCAGAAATAGGTGCACCTCTTGAGTTCAAGGCCAGCCTGGTCTACAAAGTGAGTCCATGACAGCTAAGGCTACACAGAGAAACCCTGTCTGGAAAAACAAAAGAAACAAATAAAAAGTATGGATGTGTCCTTTGAGCAGGGCTCTGGGGGTCTCTACTTCGTCCATAGGCTGTCTATAGCAGGCCATGATAGCATGACAGAGGGCTGTTGATAGGGAGTTAACCCACATCAGTTCAGGATGTGAATTGCTAGGAAACACTACAAATACCATGATGGCCACTGTTCCAGTCTTTAGAAATGTCTGAGTACAACTTTTAAACTGAAAAATAATTTATGTATAACCCCAGTAGGAAGTCACAGCCCTGGCCTTTGTGACAAGGTCAGCAGCCGCTGCCTGGGCCCTGGCTGGAAGGGTGAGCGGCCCCTTCCACTTTGAGCTGCCAGACCCAGTGCAGTCGTGTGCACTTGTGAGCACTCGTGACCTTGAGCTAGGCCCAGGTGGTGTGGGAACGGCAAGAAACTTCAGTCAACTCCCATACCACTCAAGGTTGCACAGGGCTAGTCACCCGCGGGAGTGTGCCTAGTTTCCTCACGTGTAAAGTAGGCCTGTGGGTACTTTGTCAGAGGCTGGCTGTGAACGCTAGAACACTAACTCCTGTTTCTGTGAGTCGCCTGTAGGGGGTGCTCATCACCTGCTGTGGTTTGAATGCCCAAGAAAGACGGTAGGGACTGTGGGCTACTCAAGCCGCAAAGTTTGACCTCTAGTCAGTTCAGGTAGCAATGCCTGGCAGGTGCTTTCCAGTCCTGACCACAGTGGCCTGGCTGGTGGCACCTGAAATAAATGTTTCTAGTTTCTGAGGTCTGCTAAAGGCCAGAGAGCAGCTGTCCTTGCAGCTCAAGAGTCCCGTGGAAGGGCACAGTATTAATTTTTCAAGCCTTCAGTTGCCTAAAACTTCATTAGCTGTTATTCAGAGCATGTATTCGTCTCTACCTGTTTAAGGGGCAATGTTAAGAATTAAAAATGAGCCGGGCACAGTGGCATATGCCTATAATCCCAGCACTTGGGGAGGCAGGGGCAGGTGACTTTGACACCAGTCTGGTCTACAAATTGAGTCTAGGATGGCCAAGGGTACACAGAGAAACCTTGTCTTGAAAAAAAAAGAACAAAATAAAACAAGCAAAATGGAACGACTAGGCTGGAGAGATAGGTCAGCAGTAACGGGCACTTGCTTTTCTTTACAGAGGGCCCCAGTTTGGTTCCTAGCACCCACATGGCTGCTAACAATTGTCTGTAAGTCCAATTCCAATCTGACTTCCTTTTCCACAGGTACCAGGCAAGGACAAGGTGCACAAGGGCATGCAAAACACTTTGATAAAAGGGGGGAAAGATAGGACAAAAGAATATTTTATGTGTGTTTGCCTATAGTATGTGTGTGTATGTGTGTGTGTCTGTCTGTGTGCCCCTGTGCATGATGCCTGGTGCCTACAGAGATCAGCCAAGGGTTTTAGGCCCCCTGAAACCTAAGCGACAGTATGGGTGTGGGCAGGGCATTGAACCTGGGTCCTCTGGAAGGGTAGCCAGTGTTTTTATCCACAGGGCCATCTCTCCAGCCCATAATAATCTTTAAAAAGTTAATTTATTGTCTAGGCATGGTGTTTTACACTTTTATTCATAGACACCAGGCTTTTCTCTGTGAGTTGGAGGCCATCCTGTTCTATGTAGCAAGTTCCAGGCCAATCAGGGCTATATAGAAAGTCCACCCCTCCCCCCAAATATTTAATTATTTGAGACAGAGTTTCTCTGTGTAGCCTTGGTTGTCCTGGACTCACTTTGTAGAACAGGACGGCCTCCAACTCACAGAGTCTCCTGTCTCTGCCTTCCAGAGTTCTGGGATTACAGGCGTGCGCCACCATGCCCAGCTTAATTTTTAAATTTATTTTATTTTTGAGACAGGCTGATTTCTAAACTTTACTATGTAACTGAGAGTGGCCTTGAACTCCTTATCCTCTTTCTCCCTCTCAAGTCATCTGAGCTACCATGCCACATGAGACAAACTTGTAACCTACAGTGTTAGTTTTGCTAACATTCAGGGAAACATTCACCAGGACTGAGCGTTTCTGGATGGGGCCTGGACCGAGCATACTGAGTAGGGGGATGGAGCTGTGTCCTCAGCAGCCCTTCAGGTCATCACACACTCATTTCTGGAAAGCTATGCTTTTCTTGTGTGGCACTTTCTGAATCTGGCCTGAGTCAAGCTTGGAGCTATTGAGTGTCCATTACCCTTGGACCCTCTGACCAGGCCTGGCTGACCCAGGCCTGGCTGAATGCTGGGTCTTGGGACCAGTTTCATTATATAGCGGTGCTCTCCAGTTTCACAAGCTAAACTGAACATCGGCCGCAGCCTGTGATCAGACTTCTCTGAGCTGGGCAGTCTGTCTTGTTCCCTGAGCCAGGCAGACTGGTGGTTGACATCTCTAAAGTCTGTCTTGTTCTGGAGGAAATGGGATTCCTCAGACCTTCCAGGTGTGGGCCAGTGAAATGGCTTAGTGGCTGAACAACCTGGTTTCAATGTGGGTACAACATGGCAGATGGAGAGCCGACCCCTGCAAGAGAGCCGTCTACCCTCTGTACATGTGTGCCCTCCAAATAAGTCAGTGTAATAAAGCAAACAGACAAATAACGGCTGTGCCCGTGGACACTTGTAATCCTAGTCCTCAGGCGGTGGAGGCTGGAGGACCAGGAGTTCAATGTTTGCTGCAAGACTTTGAGACTAGTTTGGGCTGTGTGTGTGTGAACTGAGCTATGGGGATTATTTTTACCAGTAATGTGATTCTTCCCCCTCCCATAGATGTGTAAGGCAGATGAGAAGTTCAACCAGCTGGTCCATTTCCTTCGGAGCCACCAGCAAGAAAAGCACCTGATCTTCTTCAGGTAGTTCCCTGGTCCTTGGCTGGGAAGATGGGCACAGTGCAGGGGAGGGTCTCACCTGTGTGAGGTTGAGGACCAGAACCCAGCCTCTTCAGCTCACACTGCAGCAATGGCCAAAGGCAGCAGTTCTTGCTTTGCTGTCTGGGCTCAGCAATGTCAAGGTTGATGTTTCTGTACCTCTCTCCACCTTGCCTTTGTTCTTGAGAGTTGTCTTGGAGCTTCCAGATGACCACCAGATGTATATCCCTGTCACGTCTACAGTGAGGCAGAGAGCAAGAGAGGGACAGAGGACAGCATTCCTGCTTCCACCCTTTTCGTTCAGACTGCTCCTCCTGGGCTTCTGGTTATTCTGAGAAGCAGGTCAAAGAGCTGTTGGAGGCAGGGCTTGTCCTGTTGTCACAAGGCAAGACAGGAACATGTGCCTCTTTTGGCTGGGCTTGAGTTTTGTTTTCTGTTTGTTTTCTTTTAGGCAGGGATTCACTATAGCTCAGGCTAGCCTGGAACTGGCTTTTTCCTCTCTTCCTCCAGCTAATCTGATTTGACTTTTATACAAAAAAATTTGTGTACAAAGAAATGAATCCAAGTGGGTGCCAGGCTTGGTTTGTGTTGTAATTCCAGTGCTCAGGACTTGAGCAGAAGGACAGGAAATTCAAACCCTATCTGGCTACGTAGCAATGTTCCCTCACAGAAGATAAAAAGGTGGACATGCCGCACAACAGCAGAGGCTTTTCAAAGCTTCGCTTTGTAGGGCGGATGGAGATGTGCTCATATCATCTGTCACTCAGTTTGCTCAGGTGCTTCCTGAGACTGTTGACACCAGAGCCCATCAGGTTGCTCTAAGAGCTGGTTGTCACTCCTGGTGTGTAAAACACCAATAACTATATCATCTTGGGACTCATGGTGACAGTGAAGAACTGCCGATGGCTCAGCCCAGACAGAGGTGCTGAAAGAGCCCCGAGCTTCACAGGCAGTGTGCAGCCTGGTGTCCTGGGAGACGGTTGGGTGGCCAGTGGCGATGTGTGTCAGGCCTCTCTCTGGGTGTGCCACTTGCTTGTGCTACAGGAGGATGTCAGTCATCTCAGGACAAAAGGGGAAAGCCGAGTGAGTTGGTGGCTCATGCCTGCAATCGCAGTACTCAAGAGGCTGAGGCAGGAGGCTGAAGAGTTTGAGGCTAGCCTGTACTGTAGAGTCCAGCCTGAGCTATTTAGTCAGGTCATGTTTCAAAAAAAGGGGTTATTTGGAGTGAACGATGGAGTGATTGACCACGCCAGGGAAGGGAGGTGTCCTGGCAGTGATTCATGACCTGTCTCCCTGGGACTTGTCTTATTCTGGGTGACCCTGCTGCGGCTTGCTTCTGTCTTTAGCTAACATGGTTTCAAGTTCCAGATTCCTGGGAGAGAGAATTTGCTCATTCAAGTGGTTCGATTGGCTGAGCTTTTGGGAATGGTTCTGATCTGAGACAGTGAAGAGTGTGAAATCCTTCACAGGAAGAGCCAAAGCTGTCATTTCTTCCCCCCCCCCCCCACGCACACCCCCATGGTAGCATTGGAGAAGTGATCCTATAGCCATTACTTTCTATTTTATTTGGGTTTTTTATGCCTCTTTTTTTTTTTTCCCCCCCCTTCTCCACCCCAGTCCCTTCCAATACCCCAACACCAGGTAGGAAAGAAGGAATGTTAGTGGGGAGAGGGGGCAGAGTTCTCTTTAGCTACTTCCTGCTGGTTAGGATCATTGTGTTCCAGTCTTTGTTTCAGGATATCTCCAATTTCTTCTTATCCAACTGTATCAACAGCAACCAGGAGCAGCATGGGGGGGCATAAGCAGCCTTCTTTCTTAGAGCCCCTTCTTTCTTGGGGCCCTGGCATTTACTGCCTCTCCAGAGGCCTCAGATTTAAACTGTCTGCAGCTGTCAAAGCCTCTCTCAGAGCCCGCAGGAGGCAAATGGTTTGCTGCTATGGATAATCAGTATCAGGCCCATGTCCTACACCTGGGATCAAAATAAAAACCTGCTTACATCCACACCATGATCCTGCTTGCTGAGCCTTTAAAAAAAAAAAAAATTAATTATTTATTTTTTAATTATTTAATTATTTATGTTTGCCTGCCAAGTATGTCTGTGTGCCAGGACACATGGACCAGAGTTACAGACAGTTGTGAGCTACTATGTGGGTGCTGGCAATTGAGCCCGAGTTCTCTGTAAGAGCAGCCAGTGCTCTTAACCATGGAGCACCTTTGCAGTCTGCTGGGCCAATTTTACATGGCAGCACTCCTTGTTGGCAAGTCTGCCTTCATTGTCTGGAGAGGGCCCTGATCTCCTCATCTGCCCCTCCTGCATCCTTCCCCAGTTTTGGGACCCATGTGGCCAGTAAATGAGTGCTTTCTCTCTCCTACACAGCACATGTGCGTGTGTGGAGTACTATGGAAAAGCCCTGGAGTCACTGCTGAGGAAAGTGAAGATCCTGTGCATCCACGGGAAGATGAAGTACAAGCGCAATAAGATCTTCATGGAATTCCGCAAGCTGCAGAGGTGAGTGGGCTGGTCATCCAAGGCAGCAGTTCACCAGTCACCCAACTCCTCAGATCTTGCACTCACCCCTTCTCTGTCTGCCCTCCTGGAGCAGAGTAGGACCCAGTTACTACATCCTTGAAGACACCCAGAGCCTGGTTTGGACCCTCACATGTACTGAGCTTAGGTCACTTGCTCAGTTCCTGGATTTCCCTGCTCCATCACAGGCCTGTGCAGCCAGGAACCTCGTGTTCGCTGCTGTATCTCCCAGGGCCTGGCACAGTGGAAGTTTGTTGTACTACTTGCTCCTCAGTAAACAAGAACAAGCACAGCCGCTTAGCTTTGGGACAGATCCTCCTGTAGGTTGTAGGGTGCTGGCTGCACAGAGGGAACTTGTGTCCTGATGACCATAGGTGTTTGTTTTTCCTAAGCATGGCTCCATTCAAACAGCAAGGGTACAGAGGTGCCCTGATGTTATCTTAAGGTCACAGGGTGAAGATGGTACTTGTTTTCCAGTGGCTGCCGAGGGCTGGCCCTCTACAGTTTTACTTCTTAATGGAAACACATGAATTAAAAATATTTAAGCCATGTGTGTAAGTGCATGTGTGTAACCCCAGCACTTGGGAAGTTGAGACAGAAATTCAAGTTCAAGGCTGCTCTGGACTATAGAGGATGCCAGACGTGCTTGTCTCAAAAGCAGTAAAAGGTCTGAGTTTGGCTCGGTAGTTGGTAGAGCACTTCCAAGCATGTGGAGGCTCTGGGCTGCAAACCTGGTCCTGGCTACCAGGGATCCTTGTGTTATCTGCTCCCCCCACCCCCTTCTCTGTGCATGTTCTTGGATGTCTGAGTGTATACGCTCTGAAGTACTGGGGTCTTGTGCTTATTTTTTCTTATGCGTGTATGTGTGTAGGCGCATGCATGTGAGTGCAGGTGTCCCTGGAGCTTAGAAGAGGACATCAGATCCCCAAGAACTGGAATTCCTGGTGGTTGTGAGCTGCCTGTCATGCCGTGTCATCTGCAAGAGCAGTATGTGCTCATAACTGCTGAGCCATCTCGCCAGCCTCCTCCACTCCCCACTTTTGTTGGGAGTTTATAAAGGCTGGCAAGGCTGTAGGAGGAAGGAAAAAATCAGAATATTACATTAGAAACTATATCTGTTTCTGTGGGGAATTCCAGAACCCTGTGCTGCTGCTGTCACTGGGGTTGGCACACTGCAGGGGACAAAGAAGAGACGGCCTTGCTCACAGTGCTGCTTTCTCATTCCTAGTGGGATCTTGGTGTGCACCGATGTCATGGCCCGGGGAATTGATATTCCCGAAGTGAACTGGGTTTTGCAGTACGACCCTCCCAGCAATGCCAGGTATGTAGGGTATTGTTGCTCTGTCTCGGGATTGGGCTGAGCAAGAAGATGAACATGCAATGAAATTTCAAACATTTTAATTCGTTTTTTTTTTTTGTTGTTGTTGTTTTGTTTTTCGAGATAGGGTTTCTCTGTGTAGCCTTGGCTGCCTGGACCTTGCTTTGTAGACCAGGCTGGCCTTAAACTCAGAGATCTGCCTGCCTCTGTCCTGAGTGCTGGGATCACAGGTGTGTGCCACTGCACCTGGGTTCCTTTTTAAAAAAAGTCTCAGGTGGCCAGAGATGATCTTAAACTGATCACCCTGCCTTCACCTCTTGAGTGACAGGCATGGGCTGTCACATCATACTTAACGTTTTAAAATCCAAGTACTATAACAACTGGATTAAACAGGAGGAGGCAAATGGCCAAACGCTTTTGATGTGGCAGCAGTGGTGTGTTGTAGCAGTCAATTTCAGACAGTTACGTGGTGGCTCCCGATTATAATCCTGGTCTTCATGAGGCTGAGTTTAGGATGGTCTTCATGAGTTCAGTAACCTGGGCTGCTGAAGAGACACTTCTGCAAAAGCATGTGTGTAGAGGGATAAATAAGGAAAAGGAAACCCTATTACTGAAGGTTCTTGCAGAAATGCAAATTGCGGAATATTGAAAAGAGCAACAGACTACTCTCAAGAAAGCTGCTGATCTCCCTCAGTGGCCACTCCTCACTCTTTCATATTTGGTTTATCAAGACAGGCTTTTTCTGTGTAGCCTTGACTGTCTTGGAGCTTCTTAGACCAGGTTGCCTCCCTGTGTATATAGATTAGTCTGCCTCTGCCTCAGCAGGGCTGGATTAAAGGTGAGAGCACCACGCTTTTCTTGCACATTTCCAAATGTCAGAGTTCCATTCGCATTCCTGGTGATGCTTTTTCTGACTCCTGTCATTCCAAGGCACTTTTTTTTGGTTTTTTGAGACAGGGTTTCTCTATGTTGCCCTGCTATTCTGGACTCCCTTTGTAGACCACCCTGGCCTTGAACTCAGAGATCCACCTGCCTCTGCCTCCCTGAGTGCTGGGATTACTGGGGTAGGCCACCATGCCTGGCCAGGGCACTTTTCTTGATGCTTCTCAGTTTTCCCGTGACCTTGCTGTGTGACTTGAGGAAGCCCAGCTTTGGTCAGGTGTCCTCAGAGGCACTCAACTGTCCCTCATGGTCCTGTCTACAGGGTCTCTTTCTTTGCAGCCCTTCTATGCTCACTGGCTGGTGGTTAGGTGGGCCTTTAGCTATGGGGCCTGGTGGCTCTCTATAGCACTGTGTATTATTGCAAAAGCTGCTTGGCTGAAGCCTGGCTGTGCTCCCTGTTCCCCCAGTGCCTTTGTACATCGTTGTGGACGCACAGCCCGCATCGGCCATGGTGGTAGCGCACTGGTGTTCCTGCTACCCATGGAGGAGGCATACATCAACTTCCTGGCCATCAACCAGAAAGTAAGCAGCACACTGGCCTGGTAGCTGATGGTCAAAAGGAGGGAGGAGCTGCAGACTCACCTGGGCTGAGCTGGGGAGGCATCAGCTGGCAGCAGCCAGCATCATGACTTGGGAATAGCACCTGTTGTTGCCCTTTCCAGACACGACTGTTGTGTGTAGTGTCCTTTTCAAACTTACAAAGTCCTGATCTCTGCTCTAAGGACTGTCCCTGGGCTGGATTTAGGCCTGGCTCTTGATGCACTGTGCTGTCTGTCCCTGATTTATTCGATCTGGGGGACACTCCAATAGAGGGACTACTGGGATGGTGATACAGTGGTCTCTGTTTAGTGTCCCCTGCAGGAGATGAGCCTGCAGAGAAATACTGTAGACCTTCTGCCGAAGCTCCAGGCCATGGCCATGGCTGACAGAGCTGTGTTCGAGAAGGGCATGAAAGCCTTCGTGTCCTTTGTACAGGCTTATGCAAAGCATGAGTGCAGCCTCATCTTCAGGCTGAAGGGTAAGCTGGCACTTGGCCTTTTCTAACATGCTTTTCTTTTTGAAGCAAGGTCTTTCTGTAGCATTGGCTAGTTCCTGCTGTGTAGGCCAGGCTGGCTTCAGATTCAAGAGAGCTTCTTACCTTTGCCTACCAAGTACTGGGATTAACGTGTGCTACCATGCCTGGCATACCTTTGTTACTTCTTAATTCTTTGAGTGTTAGGGTTGTGTGGTCTCATTGAAAAATGTGGTATGTTAGGGTTAGTGTTCTCTAAACTTTTCGAAGGAACTCCTAAAAGAACAAAAATGAAAAAGGCTCTGAGTAGATACAAAATAAACAGTCATTTCCACTTTGGAAGAAAAATGTTGCTTAAAAATTTCTAATTAGAGTGAATAAATAAATTATATATATATATATATATATATATATATATATATATATATATAAAGTTTTTGAGACAGAGTTTCTCTGTGTAGCCTTGGCAGTCCTGGAACTGGCAGAGATCTGCCTGCCTCTGCCTCCCAGGGTACTAGGATTAAGGGCGTGCACCACCACTGTCTAGTTCATTACGTCATTTAATTAGGAAACATAATGAAGAACCCCTGCACCTGTCTTGGTTGCTGACTGAGTTCTTACCTATCAGATCTTGACTTTGCTGGGCTTGCTCGGGGCTTTGGCCTCCTGAGGATGCCCAGGATGCCAGAACTGAGGGGAAAGCAGTTCCCAGATTTTGTGCCAGTGGACATCGATACCGACACGATTCCATTTAAAGATAAAATTAGAGAAAAACAAAGGCAGAAACTTTTGGAGCAAAAAAGAAAAGAGAGAACAGAAAATGAAGGGAGAAGAAAATTCATCAAAAATAAAGCTTGGTCGAAGCAGAAGGCCAAAAAGGAAAGGAAGAAAAAGATGAATGCAAAAAGGAAAAGGGACCAGGTAAAGTGTGTTCTTTATTCCTTAAACTCTACCTTTTGACACTGCACTGTGTTATGAGAAGAGCAAGGTGGCCTGTGCTTGTACCCCAGGTTCAAGGCCACACTGAGCTGTGTAGACCTTGTCTTAGCACCCTCTCTCTCCCATCTACTTTTGGGCCCCACGGTTAGGGCTGCTCTGTTAGCTAACCTGGAGCTCATAGGCTTGACAGGATCTGCTTCTCTTTAGAGCTGCAGCTGACAAGCATTTTGCTTCTTCTGTCCTCAGGGCTCTGATATTGAAGATGAGGACATGGAGGAACTCCTTAATGATACAAGGCTCTTGAAAAAATTTAAAAAAGGTAAAATCACAGAAGAAGAATTTGAGAAGGGGCTGCTGACAAGTGCCACAAGAACAGTCCAGCTGACAGACTCAGGGGCCTCAGGCTCAGAAGAAAGTTGACCTCAGAGACTCAAGTGGAGGTCATCTCCCAGCTGGTTCCACACTCTGGCCCTTCCTTACTGTCTGGAAAGCTGTCTGTCCAGACTGGGAAAAACCAAAGGACTGCACACTCCTGAATACCATGACCCTACAGTCTTGAGAAGTGTGTTTAGATTTTTGAGTGTAAATAACAAATGTCAGTATTTATTTTGATTAATTGCATTTTTTCTGGGGTAGTTTTTGTGCTTTATCACAGGCTTAAAAATGTGTGTATGTACATATATATACACACAAACATGTATTAAGAATTCTTACTTACCTTCTTAAAATAGAGAGTACTTACTCTCAGTCACCTCATTGCATCCTCTTGCCCTGAAGGTTGCACACCTTTGCAGCCCTGCCAAGACCACCGGAGAGGCAAAGGGGGCTGTGTGTGCTGGGGTCCCAGGCTGGTGCCACCACATCCAGACTGGGGTTGAGAGCATTTTAGAATGGATTCTGGTGTTTTATTGGCAAATACCTGAAAGCCAGGAAAGAATTCTATCTGGAGAAAGTGCTGCTCAGCTTTTTGGTGTTCTGCCTGACCATGCTTGCACTGTTTCTGGCCTGTCTCTTTGTACTGAGGCAATACTGTTTCCAAGTCTTTTATATAATTTATTTGAAAAGATCCTGATTTGTTCCCGCGTTTAATTTTAAAAAACGCCGTTTGGTACCCAAATATGTTCAACTACTCACTTTTCTTTTTCCAAGACGGGGTTTCTCTTTGTAGCCCTGGCTGTCCTTCTGGAACTTAAACTGTAGATCAGGCTGGCCTCGAACTCAGAGATCTGCCTGCCTCTGCCTCCGAGTCCTGGGGCTAAAGGCGTGTGCCACCACTGCATGATCCTAAGCTTATACAGTTCACATACTCTAAGCAATGTCATGTGAATGGCTCCTGCACTGGTATTCTTCCTGTCTGGTTTGATCCTGCAGAGGGGGCGGAGCCCTGAAGCCAGATGCAGTCAGCAAGTCTGTCTTGTGAGGCACCACAAGTGTCTGTTGGGGTTCACTGTGTGAAGGTTGTTTTTGTATTAATTCTGTACCTGCAGAGAGTGGAGTACTGGCTGGATTTTGGTATGTTTATCCTTATGGCTCATCACCTGCCTCACTCTTGATTAATAAAGAGCTGATGGCCAGTAGCTGAAGCAGGAAGGGAGGGTGGAACTTCTGGGGAGAGATAAGGACCCTGGGAGAAGAATTGAAAGGCCAGAGGGATTCCACCAGGGTGACATGGAGGCGGTCAGACATGGTCAGATGACATATGCACAGAGAGAGAGGTAAAGAACTAGGTCATGGCAGAGTCATGAAGTCGGGTTAATTAAGTTTGATGAGCTAGCTGGGATGAAGCCCAAGCCACAATAAAAATGAGTAAGTCTGTCATTCATCTGCTGGTGGGTCCAAGAATGTCCTGCTGTATGTTTCCTCAGCAGTTGTCACATCATCACTTTCATTGATGTAAACTGGCCTGGAGAGCAGTATGAGAAGAGCGTCCTTGCTCAGGTGCCATCTTTCCTCAGGTTTACAGTCAGTAATCTAAGTTATACTTCCAGGACAGAGTGAGTTTGTGAAAACCATAAGGATGCCTCAGCTTGATTCTAGAACTATGAACAGGCTTTGGATGTTGACAGGACTTCTGATGTGAACCCTTGGCATCCAGATCTGAGAGTCCGGTTCATTTTGTGCCCTGGCTGGCTGGAAAGGCTGCTCACCTTGCACAGCCACAGACTGCCTGCATGTTGGCAGGAAGGGACTGATCACAGGTACAGCTTGATGAGCTCATCGCTTACAGCAGATGGTGTCAGCACACCCAGGTCTGTAAACAGCAGGGTGATCAAGGATGGGGAGGTATAGTCGACCCATGGGTGTTCCTCTTTGAGGTCCTGCCCAGTCTGCAGAGACTTCAGAGTGTCTGCCTTGTACTGAGGAAAGAGGAACTTGCGTTAGTTGGCTTGGCCAGACTCTGTACTGCTGAGGCCCTAGCTTGAGCAGTAAATGAGCTCTTGCCAGGACTGCTCCCACATCAGGAAACTGGCTGGGTAGCAGGCCGGCAGGGACAGCATGTCCAGGACATCATCCAGCCCACAGAAAAGCAAACAAGAATCCACAGTGGAAGTGTCTGGCTAAGGTCACATGGTTTGTAAAAGCAGAGATGAGAGTGAGGATAGCAGTTGATTTCAAGGATGGGTTTATGTCACCAGCCTCCCAGCTGCTTCTCTCAGCAGAGATTTTTCCACAATAAGCCCAGGTCCAACAAACTATGTCCTTGTACCCTGACACTGGAAGAGCACTGAAGGAAACAGCAACTTTCTGGGACATTATGGTTTCATTATACCGTCAAAGAGCTTGTCAAGGATGTAAAACTCACCTTAAACTTATCTGGGACGTCTTGCTGATTGAGCGGAAACAGCCGTACAAATTTGAAACTTTCTGCAACCACGTAGAAGGGCTTGTTCTGGGCTTTGGCACACACAGCCATCTGGTTGGTTCCGATCTGAAAAGTCAGGGAAAATGGCAGGTGAGCTCCCATAGGTTACTGAAGCAGAAGCACAGAGTGAGTGTAGTTTTGGCACGGCAATCCAGGATTTTTTTTTTTTTTAAAGATATAAGGTCTCATGTATTTCATACTGGTTGCACTCAGTATGTAGTCAAGTATGTCTTAGAACTTCTGTCCTCCTGCTCCTACCTCCCTAGTGCTGGGGTTACATGTGTTCTACCAAGCTTGCTTCATGAAGTGCTTGAACTCGGGTATTCTGCCAGCTAAGCTACATCCTAGCCCTCAAACAGGACCTTTTAAGAAAGGAAACAATTTTTCTTCCAAGATAAATGGTCCCAAAGCACACGAAAAGATGCCCAGCATCACCTGTTAGAGGAAAAAAGTACAGCCCAAGATGAGCCAACATCTCACGCTTCCCAGGGACTCACTCAGACATTGCTGACCAGTGTTCTCAGCAGCACCCTGCACCACAGCCAATGGTAGGAAAACCCACTTCTAGTGTGCACTAGAAGTGAACATGAGCATATGGTTGGTGTCCATGATTAAACAGTACCCAGCACCAAAGGGCACATGCTGCAGCCTGGGCGAATCCAAGCAGCGTGGCCAGGGAAGTCAAGCTCAAAACCACGAGCATCATGGGAATCTACTTATTTGTGGTTCCTAGAACTGGAAAAATCAGGACAGAGCAGAACAAAGGTGACTGGGTACATGGGAATAGGGCTTTTGTGACCAATAGATAAGTTTTATAAACACTGGTAATAGCGTGCACTGAGCCAGAGTGCACACACTTTATCTTACCACAATTATGATACTTTGTCAGGGACAGTCTCCAAGGTGAGCAAGAGACCCTGAGGATGGATGTCCTCAATGGAAACAAAATCAGGGACAATCAACTCCAAGCTGAATCCATTTGCCTGGGTGTGGTAGTCATGCCTATAATCCCAGCACTTGGCAAGCAGGGACAGGAGGGTCAGGCCAGTCTCAGCCATATAGGTTGAGGCTAGCCTGAGTTACAGAATGCCTCAAATGTCTCAAATCACAGATCCGAACAAAAGTACCTATGCATTTAAATGTAGAGAAAATCTGACCAAGGTCTTGCTCATGCAGGGAGGCTTCTGGGAACAGTGTGACAGTACCTACCTTGTTAATAATCCCTCCATTCTCAACCACTCCTTCAGCACCAACTATGACAAGATCTGCTTTTTCCATGATATAGCTGAGGGAATGGAAAAAAGGAAAAGGTTTCCATACTTTTCTTGACTCTAGGTAGTGTGTGATGATGGCAAGTTCTTCCCACAGCTGCCTTTCTCAGAAGGGCTTTTGCTACAGACAGCTGCCCTGGCGCTGTTACCAGTTACCTGCTGTTACCAGTTATGTTGTCATGGGCATTCAAACTTTTGACACACAGTCTTAGTATATAGCCTTGGTTGGCCTGGTATTCACTGTGTAGATCGGGCTGGCCTGGAACTCAGAGCTTCGCCTGCCTCTGCCTCCCAGTGCTGGGATAATAGATGTGTCACAGTTTACATGTTAAGACAGGAAGAACTGCTGAAGATGCTTACCCTACAAACCTCTAAACGACTTAATGAGCTTTCTCTCCAGGGACTACTGTTCTTCAGGGATGTACAGTGATGACCCATATGGGACAAAGCTCCCACACTGAACACTGAGTACGCTGACCACCTGATTGCTAACCATAGTCTGACTTTTGCCTTTTACTCTGAAAACATGAGCAGCTGGGCATTACGTTCCTGCGAGCAACTCTGGCACTCTGAGGAAGGACTATGAGTTCTGAGCCAGTATGCGCTACAAGAGCCTGTCTCAGAAACAAGACCCCAGTAACTAATGTGCAGGAACAAAGTCAACTGCCGGCTTGCAGGTCTCCCGTACTCTCAAGACCCTGTGAGAACCGCGATGCTGCAGGGTGGCTGCCTACAGTAAGGGAGAGATGCTACCCAGGCAGATTCTATGGACAGATTCAAACTCTAATTAGAGAATCCTGCATGGAGCCAGCAACGCAGGTATGCAGAGAGTCATTACTCACCCGACAGCAGCATCCAGCACCACAGTGACAGGGACATTGAGGTGGCAGAGGGCTTTGGCCATTTTCTTACTGAAGGTGACATGAAAACATCAGATAAACTTGATTTAGACAGAGATGCTTTGTAACCTCAATGGCTTAAGGGGTAGACCCTCACTCTGGACCAGAGAAAAAGGAACCAAAGTTCTTTATTGTAATTTTAAATTTAGTTGTTTTTATTTTATGTGATTAAGTGCTTTGCTTGCATGTATGTCTGTGACTACATACATGCCTAATGCCTAAGGAGGCCAGAAAAGGGCATGGAATCTCCTGGAAATTACAGATAGTTGTAAGCAACCACTTGGGTGCTAAGACTTGAACACAGATCTTTCCAGGCTCAAGAACTGAGGGCTTGTTTGTTGTTTTGTTTTTCAAAACAAGATTTTTTTGTGTAGCCTGGCTGCCCTGAGACTCACTCTGTATATCAGGCTGGCCTTGAACTCAGAGATCTGACTGCTTCTACCTCCCAAGTGCTGGGATTAAAGGCATGTGCCACCAACGGCTAACAAGAACTAAAGTTATTTTTTGTTTTTTTTCCAGTCAGGGTTTCTCTGTGTAGCTCTGGCTGTCCAGGACTTGCTTTGTAAACCAGGCTGGCCTCAAACTCACTGTGACTCACCTACCTCTGCCTCCCTGAGTGCTGAGATTATAGGCATCTACCACTTTACCAAACTTATAACAATTATTTCTTAAGGAACTTTCCATGTCACCTGTGACTCATTAAAAGTTGTGTTTAGGGGCTGGAGAAATGGATCAGTAGTTAAGAGTACAGGCTGTTCTTCCAGAGGGCCCAGGTTCAATTCCTAGCACCCACATTGAACTATCTGTTACTCCAGTTTCAGTTCCAGGAGATCTGACATCTTTACACAGACATACACACAGGCAAAACACCAATGTATATAAAACAAAAAATAAATAAACCCTTTAGGATAGCCAAGATAACACAGAGAAATCCTGTCTCCAAAAAAGAAACAAAATCAAAAATCTACAGAGTTGGAGGGAGAGCTCCTGACTAGCATGTGTGGACCAGAATCCACTCGCCAGCACTATAAAGAAAACAATACTCTTAAGGAGCCTGGGTAACAAGTCAACTCAGAACCACGTTTGCTTTTCTTGTTTGCTGGAGATAGGGCTATCAATCACAACTCTCCAATGAAAGCCTTTCATCCACTGTCCTGCTGTTCCTCAGATGTAACTACCTAAAGAAAAACCCTTAAAAACCCTAAAAATTGGAAATGAAACAAAATTGCCACAGCCTGCATTGTGCTCCTGCAAACCCATGGGGACTTCCCCCCAGCGTAGGGAACAGTCATGAACTGTATCCAATGTAGGGCCAACTCACTGGCTATTGGCGAGATACTTGCCCGGCCAAATCAGGCTGAGACTCGGTGATATACACACTGAACCGTTTCTTGGCTGCTACGGCTTCTTCTAGGACCCTCAGGACGACTCTGGAGTAGGCGTGAGTCAAAATTCTCTGTGGAACAAAAAACCCCCATCAGAAGGGCAAGCTGCCAGCCAGCCACTGCCTGCCCTGGATGCACTGTCATAGACCTGGCTCGAACGTGTGTGCTACAAACCAACTCTGATCGGAAGGGTGACTCTTAAGTTTAAGCTCACTGGGTGGTTCAACATTTTTGCCCAAGGAGTAGGCACGGGTGTCCCCAGCAGAACCCTGAGGCACAGAAGCCAGTCCACCTGGGGGTTCAGGTGACTGGCTTCCCTGCAGATAAGACATAGCTTGCATACTTAGGCCTATAGGTGCCAGGACAGGTAGGCAATACAGTGGCCCATTGAGGCCACTGGCAGCAGAAGGCTAAGGGAACTGAGCCCTGGGTGCATCTTTTGTCACATGGCCCCACGGTTGCAGATTCACCTAATTTTGAAGGGGTAAAAATCTAGTAACCAGACACAAGCTAAGCTAAGAAGTTTTTTTCAAAATTAGCAAGCACAGATGGGTAAATACAGCGAGCCATCTGTGGTACAGTTGGGACTTGTGGAGTCACATATGGCCTGTGCTCTAAAAAAGAATGCAGAGGAATACATGAGGCGAGGTGGTGGACATGGCTCACTAGAATCTCAGGTGTTCAGGCCTCATCCTGGACCTGAGGAGTCTGCATTTAACAAGCCCCCGGGTGACCTTCCCACAGCTTCAAGACCCAGCAGCTCTGCTCTGAATGCAGCTGTAAGGTTAAGAGGAGGCTGCTTTGGGCTCTGAGGGTGAGAAATCCACACACAGAAAGCCACACTCTGAGCCCAGAGGAGGGTCAAGCCCTTGCTGCCACTTGGCCCAGGTCTGTGACACCACCATTTACACAACCTCTCACACATTTAATAGCATACTTCAAAGGTGGGAAGCGCAGTAAAGCTAAGGGCAAGATCTGAGAGCCAGGATGCAATAAATACAGGCCTGGCCTGTAGGGCTGAGGTGGTGGGAAGCTGTGCTAATGGAAGAGAAAGCATGAAGGCTCTCTCATGTGGTGGAGTGGACAAGCTGTCGACTGGCTCAACCTGCTGTTCCTCACTTAATTAGGGACAGGTCACAGTTGTGAAGAGGACAGCTCCACCCAATGCCTGCTGGCTCAGAGATGCTTGGTAGTGACTATGGTAACAGCTGGTCTGGCAGACTCAATTCAGATTACAGGACTATGAACTCAATCAGAAAAATTCTTCTTTAGAACAGGTGAAATGGTTTAGTGGGTAAAGGCACTTGTCACCAAGCCTGATGACCTGAGTTTAATCCCCAGAAACTACACAGTGGGAAGAACCAATTCCTCTGACCTCCATATACTTACTGTAGCACCTAGGCATAGTGATACACATAATAAGGAAATAAATGTGACTAAAAAATACTTCTTGGAAAAGTACATTACTAAGAGGCTATGGTGTTCAGTGGTAGAGCATGTCTATGATTGAGGCCATTTTACTAACCTCCAGCTCCACAAAAAAGAAAAAAGCTTATTAAATAAGCTTTTTTAATAAGCAACTCATGCTGGTCCCACGTTCTTCTCCCAGTTCACAATGATGAGCCTCTATAGTGGTTGTGTTTATAGAACGCTGACTACACACAGCAGCTCATTTACCCCCGACCCAGCCTGTGAGCTGCTGCTCTTATAAACAGATGAGAAAACTGCAGGACAGAGTAGTGACTGTCCATGGTCCTAGCAGTAGGCGAGAGAGCCAGGATTTCAGGCCCAGCAGTGGGACTGAAAGCCCTTGGTTCTAGCAGCACACAAGAGGCATCTACTCACCGCCCCATCTTTGATAAAAGTGTGGCACAGATTGGCAATTTTATTTCTCGACAGGGATATTCTCCTGAGGAAAAGCTCTCCTCTCTCAATCATGATCTTCTTACATTTGGAGTAATCCTAGGAAGAAAAGAGCAAAACAAAAAGAGGAAGGAGATGCCTGTACAGCTAACAGTATCTGCAGTCAACCAAAAGAGAGAAAGGGCAGGGCTTACAGAGTACTCCAGGGAGGTGAGGCTGATGAACCGAAGGAAGAGCTCCCCGCCAGAGGACACGGCCACCGAGGAGTCCACACCGCACAGGGTTTCTATGGCACTGGTGAGATTTGCTCTAAGGCCTTGGATAGTCTCTCCTGCAAGGGCCAAGTGAGGAATGTGATATGCATTTAGTGTGACAGCCCTTGCTGGTCTGCAGTTCATCCACTCTTTCAAAGGACACTGGCTGTATCTCTGTGCCAGCCACTGGGAGATGCTGCATGAGAGAGGGCTCCGTTCTCATGGAGCAATAGACGAGCACAGAAAGAGATAGACGAGTAACCAGCTGTAACAAGGATAGGAAAAGGCAGGATGAAGAACAAGCCTGAGCTACTTTATGGGGGGGGGGGTCTCATGTTCAGGCCATGTAAACCGAGACCCAGACACATGGCGATCTGTGAGGAGAGCTCCTGTGTAGATGTCAGTGAGTGATACAAAGGCCCAAGGAAGGGGCACCCTTGGTATAAAAAACAAAGAAGGTCAATGGGAATGGCTCAATGGGCAGAAACGTTTTGGGGCGCAATCCTGGTAATCTGAGTAAGAACCAAATTCCTCTAAGAGCTGCAGGCTCACTCTCATACTCACACTCATGCACAATCATGCACAAATCAAAGAGGCCAGCAGGACCAGGTGCAGTAAGTGACAGCATAGCAGGGGATTACTTAGTGGTGGTGGATGAGATCTGTGAGACAGTTCAGGGTCCAAGGTAGCTAAGTGTAAGAACACTGGGAAGACGTGCTTCTTCCCAGCCACCCCATGAGAATGAAGAAGGCACCGAAATTACTTTGTATGTAAAGAGGTCTCAATATACCCAGAATCTTAAGTCTTATAATGCTCATTTACTAGATCCCAATGAATAGTGATACCACAATTTATTCTGGAACATTCTCTATAGTATCCGCACAGAATCTAGGACAAGCCAGGAGCTTGGTACTCATCTATAAAGCTAAATTACTGCTATAATTTAGGCCTTGTGGCTGAGGCTCTATTGTTGACACTTGAGTCCAGGTATATCTGGTAGGTGGATTAGAATCCTTTATGTGATTAAGTCCCTCCAGGCTGCCAGGCCTGCCATGGACACAGTGGCTAGGCCTGAGGCTGTAGGCAGACTTGCGTGTCTCCCTGACCACTTTCCTAAAAGTCATCTGAAGACTTTCCCAAGGCCCAGACTGTGTGAGGCTGATGATTTTTTTGTACCTTTATCTCTCTTCAGGAACTCCAGCAAAGTCTGGATGGCTGCTACCGCTGAGGCCATGTTAGGGTCTCCTTTCATCTGAGACTTAAAGTATTCAATTAACTCTAGGGAGAAAAGAAGAATGGGTCATTACGTGAACTTAGCAGGATGTGGCTGAGAACTTAGTGACAAGGGTAAGAAGCAGAAGCATTTTAAAAAGCAGCTTTTAAAGTTAGGGGTAGACATAGGTTTGTGCAGCTTATGCCAATCAAGTCTATCATGTATACAAACATAAATGTATACAGGTGTACAGTTCTACCTAGTTCACTTAATTAAATTCGTTTTTGTTCACTTAATAAAAACATTCCGATAACCACAATGAATGAGCAAACCAAAAAAAGCCTTATTCCTTCAAGGAGGGACAAGATGTCTTCCTATTGCGCTCGGGGGCACATCCTGGCTGCTGGCGCCAGCACACTGCCTGCGAGAGGCAGTTTTTCGGGGGAGAGCCCTGGGACAGCGTGTACTGAGGTCAGTAGCGAGCGTCTGAGGGGCTCAGATCACGGACACAAGAGCAGTGACAGAGGAAAGCCGCTCGAGGCCGGACAACGTCGCCCGGATCTCAGGCTTCCCGTGCGAGGCCGGGGACCCATGTGTCCCCGCCGCTCCGGCCACACACTCACCTTCCTTCTCCATGGCTTCCTCGCGACAGAACCCGCAACCGCGCCTTCAGTAAGCCACGGGCTGACAGCCTGTCGCACTTCTTGCATCACTTCCGGTGCCCTGGTGAACGTCACGTCAGCGCCGGAAGTTGGCTGCGCAGCGGGCCGTGGGTGGCTCTTCACCGAGGCGTAGGGGCGCCATGGCCGCGGACGGTGAGGGTAGCACGGACCGGAACGCAAAGCCGGCCTGGGAGGGACACGTTTGGTCTTTAGAGGAACAGCCAGTCTATGCGTTCATTCACTCAGCAATTTTGCTTTTGAGACAGGGTCTTACGTAGAACTTGCTGTGGTGTAAAGGATGGCCTTGAACTCTTGATCCTTCAGGCTCTTCTAGAATGCTGGAATTACAGGCGTGCACGATCAAACTCGATTTTATGGGTTGCTCAGATCGTTGTGCATGCTCAGAAGGCATTCTACCAATTGAGCCACATGGCCGTCTCATTTTTTATTTTTTTATTTTTATTTTTATTTTTTTTTATTTTTTATGCAAGCTCTCTCTCCTGCCGTAGCTCTTTGAGATCTGGGGTTGCAGGTCGAATCAGCATGCCCAGTGTGTCATTCAGCAAATATTGGGTTTGCCCCCTGTGCACTCGATTTTCTAAACTGGGGGGTACCACAGAACTCGACACAGGAAAGTTTTGGGTGTATGGTGTCTTATGGTCCAGAGAGGCAGTTGGCAAGTCAAGTTAATTCCAGGAGGTGCCTGGGGCTGTGAAGACAGATGTGTGGTAGCTAAGTTCAAGAGATCTGTCTTTCCTGAGGAGTCCAGGAAAGTTCGGGATACTGAAACTATGGCGTGAGCGAACTCATAAAGTACACTTTAAATACAAGCATCCTGGGAGGTCAATTCCTACATTAAACTACTAAGTACAATTTTGTTTTGTTTTGTTTTTCGAGACAGGGATCCTCTGAGTAATAGCCCTTGCTGTCCTGGACTGCATTTGTGGAACAGGCTGGCCTTGAACTCACAGAGATCTGCCAGCCTCTGTCTCTCTAGTGCTGCGGTTAAAGATGTGTGCTGGCTTAGTTAGAGTTTTAAAATTATATTTCTCTCCCAAAGGTTGTTGCATTTATTTATTTATCTATCTATCTATTTATTTATTTAGTGTATGTGTGTACACGCTCGGGAGCACTAGTGGAAATCAGGACAACTTGTGGGGCTCAGTTCTTTTATTCATTGTGAAGGTCTCAGTAATTGAACTTGGATCATCAGGCTTGGCAGCAAGTGCCTCTCCAGCGCTTTCTCAGTAGGCTAGACTTTTACTTGATTGACAACGTTAGAAGTATCTCTTTGGCTACGGTGTGGAAAATGGATTGTGGGGAGCAAGAGTGGTTAGGGAGGCTCATTCAGCAGCTGTGGCTGTTGCTCACACCTCGATGAGAAAGGTAGGCCAGGCACTGCTTATCAGCCAGTGAGTCAGAGGTCCATAGGAATTGGCAGGGACATTTCACAGGCATGCTTCTGACAGGCAACAAAACACGTATTGTTTTCTGTCTCAAGCTTCTTGGTACTGGCGAGGAGGAAAGAGTAAGTAGGATTGGGTTCTGTAGAAGCCAGAGATGGGCATGAGCCTGATGAAGGAGCTGGGGCTCTGGGAAGGAAGGTAGGAGGCAGTAAATTGGTCACTGGTTGAGCATCCAGGCTCTTCATGACTGGGCACTGGCAGGATTGCTTTGTCATGTGAAGTGTAGGCTCTTGGCTGGGTGAGGTGCCACATGCCTATAATCTCAGATTCTCAGGAGGTGGGAAGTTACCAAGTTCAAGGCCAGCCCAGGCAATTTACTAAGACCCCATGTTAAAGGGTCATGATTCCGAGAGGGATTACTCAGGGTTTTAAGAGCGGTAACAGAGAATCCCTTGTTCAGTTTAACAGCCTTGGCAGAACCATCCAGGGCGTATGGCTCCCTCTTTCGACCTCTGAAGGCACTTCGGGAATGTGATATTCATACTCAGCCAGTCAAAGCACTCATGCATATAAAATAAATCTTTTTTTTTTTTTTTTTTAAGTAAGAAAGTGCTAGCCAGGTACAGTGGTGAATGCCTCTAGTCCCAGCACTCAGGGAGGCAGAGACAGGTGGATCTTTGTGAGTTTGAGGCTAGCCTGGTCTACAAAGCAAGTTTAGGACAGCCAAGGCTACACAGAGAAACCCTGTCTCGAAACAAACAAAAAGGAAAGTGCTAAGGATGTAGTTTGGTGGCAGAGCCCTTTCTTAGCATGTACAAGTTGCCAGCACCAAACTGAGTTAAGTGTAGGTTCTTGAAAGACTTGGAGCCAGGGCCTCCGTCAGCTGGGCCTAGTATTTAGTGTGGGTGTGTGTTGAATGCTTGGGTTATTTGGTCCATTTAGTTGTGTCGGTCAGTTTGAATGGTGGCCTAATTCCTTTACATGGTAAAAACTTTGTTCACATAAGAATTATTTCCCCCCTTTGTGATCATTTTAAAATTTGTCCCTGGGCTGGGAATGTAGCAATACAGTAGAGTCCTTGTCTGACCTTCACAGAGCCCTGGTTTGATCCCCAGCACTGATTACAACCAGATGTGGTACAAGCTGGCACTTGGGAGGTAGAGACCAGAGGGTCAGAAGTTTGATATCCTTAGCTACACAAAGAGGTTGAGCCCATCCTGGGCTATATTAATAAAAAGTAAATAAGTAGATAAAATGAAGATTCATAGTCTCAAGTGGGTTGGCTGTTCTATCTTGGGTCCTCCTGGCTATGCATGGGTCCCTAATCACCCCCTTGAAATCCTACCACGCGTAATTTTCACCACTCATTCAGTGACCGAGTGACCAGGCTTTTAAAATGTGAACGAATACCTCTGGGTTAACTCAGTAGACATCTGTTCACTGCTCATTATATACCAGAAGCAGAGCGCCCTCAGCTTGGCACTTTGAATGCTGTGGCAAAGGCAAGAGCTGAGAAAGTTCTGCCCAGCTCCTCAGCCCTGCTCAGTCTGGAACTTGCTATACAACACTGGAATCGAACTCACAGAAATCCTCTGCCTTCCAAGAGTTGGGATTAAAGACAATAAACCATCATTTCTAACCTTTAAAATTAATTTTTTTCTTAACATTTTGTGTGCGTGTGTGTGTGTGCATGTGTGTATATGTGTGTATGTGTATTAATAGGCAGTGTTGTTGAGTCAGGTCTCACCTAACCATGTACATCCTAGGAATCGAACTCAGGTCATCAGGCTTGGCTATAGGTGCCTTTACCTAGTAAGCCATGTCTGACCCCTCTTTTTGTTTGTTTGTTTTTGTTTTTTAATAATGAGATACAGGCATATCAGTCCCTGGGCTTCCCCAATACTAGGCAAGCACTTTCTCATTTAGCAGTGTCCTGAGCACTGTGAGTTAATCTCTGAGGAAAGTTTGGTGACGTCATGGTCTGAGCATGGTAGTTAATCATCTCATTGGAAATGTTAACTGTATCAGTCTCGTGAGGTGACATTTTCAAATGTTGCTCTTACTGTTTGCAGAGGATGAGTTGAATCTTCTGGTTATCGTAGTTGACACCAACCCAATTTGGTGGGGAAAGCAAGCATTGAAAGAATCTCAGGTAAGATGGCTTGAGCCTTCGACTGATCCTCTCTGACTTCGGTCTGTCTGTACCCCACCCACTATCCTCCGGACAGCATCACTGAGTCTTTACAAGCTGGGTGTGGTAGCCCTTGTCCAACCCCAGCACTCAGGTGGAGACAGGTAGATCCCTGAGCTCAAGTTCATCTTTGGCCAGTCTGGGTTAGAGACTGGGCTAGAAAGGAAAGCCGTGAGTTCATAAAAGCCTCCAGTTACACTCTACACACCAGGGAAGTTGTGTAACTGGCCCCGTAGTTCCTTCTTGGAATGTTTCAGTACACGAAGTCCTCTTTACCTTGACCATCACTCCTGCTTCTGTCCTATACATGCAGATAGCCATTGATTGCCTCCTGTCTAGTTTGGGCCTTTTCTATACAGCTCATATATCTACTGTATAAGTAGGCATCTTTTGTTATTTGTTTACTTAGGTGACAGGTATGGTGTAGAGGTCAGTGAACAGCTTTTGGGTATTGCTTCAACCATGTGGGTCCTGGGGATGGAGCTCAGGCCATCAGGTTTGGTGGGAAGCACCTATAACCACTGAGCCATCCCACCTGACCTGGTCTTTGGAGTTTTGAGACAGGCTCATCCTTTTTCACATTTACTTTTTGTTTGTTTATGTGGGTGGATGTTTGCATGCTTGTGGAGGCCTGGAATTGCCAAGCGGGCCCCAGACATCAAGGGCCCTTTATTTGTTTAACCATCTCATTGGCCCAAGTTTTAAATTTTGATGAAACACAGCAAGTTTGTGCTTTTTTACTTTTCAACACAGGATATCAGGCATCCCAGGCTGTCCTTGAACATGCTGTATAGCCTGAGGATGACCTTGAACTTCTGCTCAGGCTGCCTCTGTCTCTTAAGTCCAAGGCTTACAGGTTACACATATGGCCCCACTGTGCTGGTATTTGAGAAATAATGTTCTAATTTGTAGATGACTCTGTCAGTAAAGTTGGGAAGGCCTCCTCTCAGGCACTATTCTGTCTTTAGGAGGCATGACGCTGAGCAAATTTTTATCTGTGAATTACTGTGTCAGATGTCAGCAACTGTCTGTACATAGTGGCATATGTCATGACATGGGCAGGTAGAGACAGGTGAATTGATGGATGCTTGTTTCTAGTCAGTGAGCCCCAGACCACCCAGGGCCATGTAGGAAGACCCTTTCTTAAACACACCGCAGTATATAGGTAATAAATAGTTGCTCTTCTAGTGACGTCCTTCTTGAGGCTTGATGTAGTTGTGTGGGGAGCTGACATGTTTCTCTCATGTTTGCCAGTTCACTCTATCCAAGTGCATGGATGCCGTGATGGTGCTGGCAAATTCCCACCTGTTGATGAACCGCTCCAACCAGCTGGCTGTCATAGCCAGTCACATTCAGGAAAGGTAGGGGCCAGTGCTCTGCCGCTGGGGCTGCTGTTCAGTTCTTTGACAGTTCATGTATGTGTATACTCTGGCTACTGAGAGGGTTCTTTCTTTTTCCCCGTCAGTCGATTCTTATATCCAGGGAAGAACGGCAGACTTGGAGGCTTCTACGGAGACCCTGGCAACCCCCTTCCTGACTGTAATCCCTCAGGGAGTAAAGATGGGAAATATGAGCTGTTGACAGCTGCAAATGAGGTGATCGCTGAGGAGATCAAAGATCTGATGACCAAGAGTAAGAGCCTGGCTATTGTCATGCTATCTCGCTGTAGTGGTAATTGCTATGTGTTTTTAAAATGTAAGGTTTTATTATTTATTAATGATAATAATTCTTTAAGAATTTCATAGATGCATATGATGTATTTGGTATATTCACCAACCCCATTCTCCCTCCTAACTCCTAGATTCATCCCCTATCTTCTCACCCCACTTCTTTTTTTAATTTTTATTTTTTAAATAATCAGGCCATGGTTCAAATGCCTTTAATCTCATCACTTGGGAGGCAGGGGCAAGCAGATCTCTTGGCCTGGTCTACATAGCCAGTTCCAGGACGGTCAGGGCTATGTAGACAGAGCCTGTCTGAAAACAAGGAAACAAGAAAATCCACCTGTGCTGCCCATATGCTCATGGGTATGGGGCCGTTTACTGGCATGGTCGACCTGTGGGGGACCATACCTATAAAGAAAGCCAAGCATGCCATCAGCTCTGTTAGTGGCTCCTCCGCTAGGGCTGGGGCTCATGGGGCCCTCCCACTCCATGCTGGAATGTTGACTGGCTTGCTCTTGTGCAGGGCTTATGCAGGCTGCCACAGCTGCTGTGAGGTTTCCAGTGTGACTTCCTGCCTTGTCAAGAGAACGCTATTTTGTCAGGTCCTCTTGAACCCTTAGCTCTTACAATCTTGCTGCCCCTAAGCCACTCCCAAAATGGTCGCTGAGGCATAGGGGCTGGTTACATGTTGTAGACTGTTTTTCCTTAGACATGACATTGATTTGGGAGGTAATGGAGGCTTTATGCACAAAGATTTGAGCCTGCTGACACTAGCCACATGCCTCTTTTCCTTCTGAGGTTCATTTCCCCATCTCTGTGATGCGTATCTGGCCTTACAGTTTTGGCCCTGTCGCTCTTTCTTGGCTCTATGACACCCTGGCTTCCCAGGAAGACATGCTGTTAACCAGCTTTTCTTCTCTTGCTGTTGGAATTCTTAATTCTTTCTAAATCTTATTTGAGTTTTGTTTGTTTCTGTTTAGATAGGGCCTCCTTAAGTAGCCCAGGCTGACCTTGAACTTGTGTTCCTCCTGCTTCAGTCTCCCAAATTCTGGGATTACAGGTATGTACCACATGCCTGGCTCATTTTTTGTTTTTTTTAAAGATTTATTTATTATTTATGCAGTGTTCTGTCTGCATGTGTGCATGCACACCAGATCTCACTATTGATGGTTATAAGCCACCATGTGGTTGCTAGGAATTGAACTCAGGACCTTTGGAAGAATAGCCAGTACTTTTAACCTCTGAGCCATCTCTCCAGCCCTCGTTTTTTGGTTTTTATGTCTGTTTTGTCCTTTATTTTGTCACTTAAAATACACCTTGAATCTTCCATAGATTCTTCTTTCCTTCCTTCCTTCCTTCCTTCTTAAGATTAAATTTGTTATTTTCTTAAAAGAATAATGTATGTTTATAGGGGTTGGAGATAGAGCTGTATGGTTGAGAGCACTGGCTGCGCTTCCCAGCACCCATGTAGCAGGTTACCTCCATCTATAATTCCAATTCTGGGGAATCTGTTCACCCTGTTGACATCCTTGGGCACCAGCCAGGCACACATGTGCAGGCAAAATACTCATACAATAAGATAATCTTTAAAACAAATATGGTTAAATGTTTGTGTGTGTGCCTACATGAGTTATGTATGCAGTGCGCATTTGGGTGCCTGAGGAGGCCAGTGGCAGTTGTAAGCTACCTGATGTGGGTGCTGAGAACCCATGACCTTTATGGTGGGGAGCTTGATGGGGTAGGCAGGCAGGTGGGCAGGCAGGCATGGTTGTGAAGCAGTAGCTAAGAACTTACATCTAGTCCCAAAGCACAGAGCAGGGGGAGAGCTAACTGGGAATGCATGAGCTTTTGAAACCTCAAAGTCAACAAGGCCACACCTCCTAATCCTTCCCAAACAATTCCACCAACTAGGGTAGATAGGTATGAGCCTGTGGCAGCCATTCTCATTCCCACCACCACACCCTTCAGTTGTCATCTTAGAAGTCAGAAGTGCCTTTCCCATCTCAAGGCTCCAGTTTCCCTGTAGCCCACCATGGGTTTTAGCCTTTAATCTGCAGTGGGCACCTGGAGGAGAAAGGAACTCTAGGGACTGGAAGGGCTTAACAATGACCCTGGGCTGGGAGGGACATGTGGGCCACATGGTCTCAGATGATGGAACATGGTGATGGACAAAGAGCTGTAACTTATAAAAAGTAATCGAGTTCTAGGGCTGGAGAGATGGCTCAGGGGTTAAGAGCTCTTGCTGCTATTGCAGAGGACCCAAGTTAGGTTACAGCAGCCATGGAGGGAGGCTCTAACTCCAGTTCCAGGGGATCCAGTGTTCTCTTTGGGCTTCTGTGGCTATCATGTACATGTGTGTATACATCCATAGATGCACACATACACATAAATTAAAAAGAGATGATTTCCAAAGCAGTAATTTTTTTTTTTTTTAAAATAGAATTTCCCTGGGTAGCCCTGGCTGGCTTGCAGTTTGCTGTGTAGACCAGGCTGGCCTCACACTCATAGAGATTTGCCTACCTCTGCCTTCAGCATGGTGGGCTTAAAGGAGTGTGCCACCACACCTGGCTCTATTTTATTCATTTCTGAGTGTACAGATCAGTAGTGTTGAGTGTGAACACAGTTTCAGGGCCACTCCATGTCCTTTATTTTATTTTTTACTTTTTGGTTTTTGTTCTGTTTGCTTTTGTGTTATTTATTTATTTCAGTTTTTCGAGACAGAGGGTCACTGAGGGTCACTGTGTAGCCTTGGCTGTCCTGGACTTGCCTTGTAGAACAGGCTGTCCTCAAACTCACAGAGATCTGCTGGCCTCTGCCTCCCAAGTGCTGGGATCACAGGTGTACAGCACCATGCCTGGCTTATGTTTAACTTTTGAGATTGATTTATTCTACTTTATGTGTATGGATGTTTTGCCAGCATGTGTGTTTGAGTACCATGTATGTACCTGATTCTTGTGGAGGCCAGAAGAGGTCATCAGATCCACTTGAACTGGAGTTACAGATGGTTGTGAGCCACCATGTGGGTGCTGGGCCTTGAACCTGGGTTGTCTGGAAGAGCAGTCAATGCTCTTAACCACTGAGTCATCTCTCCAGTACCTCTTTGTCCTAGTGATTTTGAAAAGAGCTATAGAGTTGCTTACTTGTCTCTACTGATTACTAGTTTCTGTGTTTTAAGATCCACATTGAGCAGGTTACAGCGGTGCACACCTGTAATCCCAACACTCTGGGAGGTAGAGGCAGGTGGATCTCTGTGAGTTCAAGGCCAGCCTGATCTACAGAGCAAGTCCAGGACAGCCAGAGCCGTTATACAGAGAAACCCTGTCTCGAAAACAAAAGAAGCGAGCAAGCAAGCAAACAAACAAAAGGATCCACTTTGGACATGTCTTTTTATTCATGCATGAATACTTGTGTTTCAAAACGACTCCATTTGAAAAAAGACTCAGAATTCTGCCTTTTGTGCTCTATAACATCTGCAGGTGACATAAAAGGTCAACACACAGAGACGCTCCTGGCAGGATCCCTCGCCAAAGCCCTTTGCTGTATCCTTGTGCTAGCATGTTCCATGGAGGCTGTTTCCCTGGTGCCTTCTCCAAGGCCTCATTCTGCAGCGTTCATGCACAGTAGCTTCTCTTCCCTTCAGATCGTCACTGTTATCATCTGAAGAGCCTGGCGCTGCTTCCAGGTGAGGTCTTGCCTTTTTTCTTTTGGGTTTTCGTTTATCTCATGTATGAACGTTTTGCCTATGTGTATCTCTATGTAACATGAGTACCCTGTGGGTGTGCTATCAATGGAAGTCAAAAGAGGGCATGAGAAAAAACAAACAAACAACAGAAAAAGAAGGCATCAGATCCCTGGAACTGGAGTAGCTACATGCAGGTGGTGAGAATAGCTATGTGGGTGCTGGGAACTGAGCCTGGGTCCTCTGCAAGAGCAGCCAGTGCTGTGAACTGCTAAGCCATCTCTCCAGCTCCTGATGTTGCTTCTTCCTCTGATTGCCTGGTGTGGCTTTGCTCTTATCCTTGACTTGACAACTCCAGTACCGAGTTTAAAAGCTGTTGACTGCCTCTGTGGCTTAGTTAACAACTGGCATTCTCTGGGTGAAGAGGTGACCTGGCCTGCGTCATAGGGCAACTAGACTCTTTCTTCCAGAGCCTGATTTCATGTCATGGGCTTGCAGCCTTGCTTTTTTTTTTTTTTTTTTTTGTTTCTTTAGAGACAGGGTTTCTGTGTGTAGCCTTGGCTGTTCTGGACTCCCTTTGTAGACCAGGCTGGCCTTGAACTCACAGAGATCTGCCTGCCTGTGCCTCCCAGAGTGCTAGGATTACAAGTGTGCGCCACCGTGCCCAGCTTCAGCCTTGCTTTTGTGAAATGTCTCTGAACAGCATTGAATGCTTTGTATATCCTTAAGCTTTTATTCTGATCTTCTTTGTATAGTTTTCAAATTCATTATTTCATTGGTTGGGCTGATTGGTGTAGGTGTGGCCCTAGTGTCGCTTTCTAGGATGGTGGATAGTCAGCTGTCTGTAATTGTGGTCTTTCCTTAGTGAGTATAGAATGGGTAACCAAGCCCAAGCCCACCCACACGGCTATTGTGGCAGATGATGGGAAGGGTCTGGCTTAAAATCAGAAGGTCTGTTTTCCTGCTGCTGCAGATGTTCATGAAACATGCTTTCATAGTCCTTAATGTTAATGAATCCAGACATTCACAGAGTGAACAAGACAGTTAAAGGTAAGAGCTGATTCCTTTACAACTATCACCCCGTTCATTTAAATGCTGCATGCTTGGTGGGTAGTTAAGGATTGCTGAGCACTCAGAGGCAGATGCAGGTGGCCTTGGTGGGATCATGGCCAGCCTGTTCTACATAGCAAGTTCCCGGCCAGCCAGGGCTGCATAGTGAGACCCTGACTCAATATAAAGTAAAAAGTGCTTAGAAAACCACCTGCTTTTTAAGCTACCTTGTTTGTTAAATTATAATCTGTTTTTATTTCTTTGTAGACAATCAGGAGATGAAATCAAGGATATTGGTAAGATCATACATACCTCACATGCAGACAGATGAAAGATGTGGGAATGAATCCAGACATGGTGTCACATGCATTTAACTCCAGCACTGGGGAGGGAGATGCAGGCTGATGTCTGAGTCCAAGGACAATGTGATCTATGTGGCCAGTTCCAGGCCAGCCAGAGCTTTTGGGCCAGTGAGATGGCTTAGTTGGTAAAGGTGCCTGGTGCCAAGCATGAAGGCTTGACTTCAATCACCAGGACCCAGATGGTAGGAGGAGAGAACTAACTTTCAGAAGTTGTCCGCTGGCCTCCCGGTGCACTCTGGCTACGCTGGAGAGATGCTCATCAGGCTAACAAGGACCGGGAACACCCTGGTGTCATCCTACACCTCAGGGGTTTTGTACTGAGTAGGAAGAGGGACGTGAGAATGGTATGGTCTATGGCTTGTATAGTAGGTCGTGTCACTAGTGTATCTGGGTGGCCCTTGAGGTCTCACAGCTGCGTTTGCAGGTGATCAAGGCCGCTGAGGACAGTGCGCTGCAGTACATGAACTTCATGAACGTCATCTTCGCTGCTCAGAAGCAGGTGAGGCAAGAAATGATCAGAGGCCAGGTGTGGTAGTGCCCACCTTTGTGAGTTTGAGGCCAGCCTGGTTTATATAGAGTTCTAGGACAGCCCTATTTCAAAAACAAACAAAGGAAAAGTGATCATTTTCATTCTTGCACAGCAGTGTTCTGGCTAAGAGCCCCGTAAGCGGATTGGGGATTCAGAATCCACACTAGCTACTTGTCATTTTTCTGTTTGGGGTCCTTGGCTCCTTTCCACTGGGCAGTGTTCTCAGAACTATGTACTCAAAGTTGGTTTTATATTGGGTGTCATAGTACTCATTATCCCATTAGAATCTCTGGGTTGACAGTTTGATACAGAAACCCTCAACTTCTCCATTTTTTTTGTTTATTTGGGATTTTTTTGTTTTTGAGACAGGGTTTCTCTCTATGTAGCCCTGGCTATAGACCAGGCTGGCCTCGAACTCAGAGATATGTCTGCCTCTGTCTTTTAAGTGCTGGGGTTAAAGGAGTGCGCCACCACTGCCTGGCTCTCATTTTGTTTTGAGACAGGCTTTTGCTGACTGACTTGCCCACCCTGACTTGTGAGCTCCCTGTAGGGCACACAGACCTTGACCTTGGGATAACAGGTGTACACCTTCTCCCTGACACTTTCTGTCTTCTTATTATAATGTGGTGTGTACTTAGCAGATAACTAAGATGTTCAGTTAACCCGACAGAGCTTTGTTCTCTGGGGTTTTTTTTTTTTCATGTGTCTTAAGTGTGTGCCTGAATGTGTATATATCTGTGTAGCATGTGCAGTTCTCATGCCTGCAGCATCCAGGAGAGGGTCAGATCCTGTGGAACTAGAGTTGCAGATGATTGTGAACCACCACATGGGTGCAGGGAACTGAATCAGGGTCCTCTGGAAGAGCAGCCAGTGCTCTTAACCCCGTCTCTCCAGCTCACTTCTCTAAACCTCACTTCTAATATACGGCACCACTTGAGCCTGCATTCTCTTCAGCATGGAGAGTGCTGTAGTCGAAAGGGCTCAGACTCTGGAGGCAGGAGTTAGGACCTGTCTCGGGAGCTTTAGCTGCCACATGCCTCCGTGTCCACCTTGTAGCTTCAGTATACATGTTAAAGGAATTGAATCTAGCTGGACAAAATGGGGCATATCTGTACCAACACTAGGAAGGCAGAGGCAGGAGGCTTACCACAAGTCCCATGCCAGTCTAGACTACAGAGTTGAGCCCTGACAATAAATAGATAGATAGATAGATAGATAGATAGATAGATAGATAGATAGATAGATA